ACAACAACAGCAACAACAGTATTGGTAGGGGACTGGTTAAGGACCCCCAAATGCTATGAGTGTGGAAAAGCCTTCATTCAAAGCACATCTCAGGGCCTTCCTGGAAACTTAGTGGTAAAGAATCTGCCTGCCAATGCAGGAGACATAGGTTTGATCACTGGTCTGGGAAGATCCCACATGCCACAGAGCAACTAAGCCCTCAAGCCACAACTAATGAGCCTTTGCTCTAGAGCCCGAGAGCTGCAAATACTGAAACTCCCTAGAGCCCATGCTCTGCAATGAGAAGCCACCGTAATGCGAAGCCCACGAACTGAAATCGAGAGTAGCCCCCACTCGCCACAACCAGAGAAAAGCCCCTGTAAGCACGAAGACCTGGCACAGCCAAAAGTAATAAATAAATAAAATCTTTAAAAGATTTTTTTTTAAAAAGCTTACATCTCATTAGATATCATAGAGTACCTACTGGTGTGAAACCCTATAAACACTGAGTCAGAGGATGCTCAAGTCTCTTATATAAAATGATGTAGTAATGTGTATATAACTTGGTAATCCTTCTATATACTTTCAATCATCTCTACATTACTTATAATACCCAATAAATGCTATATAAATAGTTGCCAGTACTCAACAAATTCAAGTTTTGCTTGTTGGAACCTTCTATATTTCTTTTCTGAATATTTTCTATACTAGTTGGGATGAATTTGACTGAATGCAGAACCTGAGGATACAGAGAGCCAACTATAACAAGCAAGTCTCTTCCCACCCTATATTCCCACTTCCTAGAGAGACAGCTCATCTAGACCACCACGGCCTTCCTGTTACATCGATCACCTCCCTCTCTTCTCTGTCAACCAGGAACAGAGAATCAACACTGACACCCCGCCACTACACACACACACACAACCCCAGGCACACTCACTCTTTATCCATAACCTCCTTCTTGTTCTCCTTTTCTCCCCGCCTCCAGCCCCCAGACTCCACACATCCTCTGCTGCGATAGCCCTGGCCGTGCCCCAGGACTGCTACTCCTTTGATTGGTCCACTATCAACACTCTGAAGGCACAGAGTCCAACCTTGTCTCCAGAGCAAAGTACTCCTCCAGGCAGTCTGCGCCTCCCAGCATCTGCCTCACCCAGACTTGCCACCAGATCCAAAACAGAAAAGAATGGATCTCAGATGTCCAGTCTGCAGTGAGGCCAGCTGGATCGGTAGCCTTCTAACAAGAACGTTCAGCTGTGCTTGGTGAGCATCTACCATGTGGCAGGAACCGTGTTAGTTTCAGAGATTCAGAGATGGTTGAAACTAATCACTCACCTTGAGACACTCACAGCAGAAGTGTTGCCCAATACAGGTTTACTTGCCTGACCCGCAGTGAGGCCAGACAAACTGGGACATGGGAATGTGGCACAGAGAAAGGTTTATTATAAGGGCAATGCAAAGAGAGTGGGCGGCCGATAGTCAAAAGACCCAATGGTCTTTTGATGGTTTTGGGAAAGAGTTTTTAAAGGCAAAATAAGCGGTGAAGTTTGTAGGGTGTGTGGACTTTCTTCTGATTGGTTGGTGGTGAGGTAACAGGGCGGTACTCCAGGAATTTTGTTGTCATTGTTGATCAGTACACAAATCTGTACTGTACATGTTTCAGACTGTGTGACCCCATGGACTGTAGCATTCCAGGCTCCTCTGTCCACGGGATTTTCCAGGCAAGAATACTGGAGTGGGTTGCCACTTCCTTCTCCAGGATATCTTCTCCATTCAGGGATTGAACCCATGTCTCCTGCATTGATAGACAGATTCTTTACCACTGAGCCACCAGAAAAACCCTACAGCTAATTACCAATCTTTTAGCTATTTCTCTTCTGCAAACCTACAATTACAATTGTCTAATCTTTTGATTTCTTTGTTGTTCAGTCACTAAGTCATGTCCGCCTCTTTGCAACCCCATGGACTGTAAGGTTGCCACTGTGAGCCATGTGCTATGCTGGGATTTATGACCTCTGGAGGAGAGGATTTTGATCAGGGGCCAGAGACCAGGCTTGACCATGAGCTTTCTGTGTAACAGAATTTTATTAAAGTATAAGAGAGAGAGAGTAAACTTCTAACATAGCCATCAGAAGGGGGCAGAAAGAATGCCCCCTTGCTAGTTTTTCGCAAGGTTTTTTATGTCTGTTACCAAGCTCTTAATCAGATAGGAGAGACACCGCAAGGCTGAGGGAGTTTCACCAGGCCCCTCTCCAAAACATGCATTTTAGAGATAGGATGGCACAAGGTGTGTCATCCTTGGCCATACAACAATTGACTTGAACACTGGTTTGAGCCATTATCAGCCCAAGGTTTCAGAAAAGAAAACAAGGTTAGTCTTCAGTCCAGTTCAGTCACTCAGTCATGTCTGACTCTTGGAGACCTCATGGACTGCAGCACGCCAGGCTTCCCTGTCCATCACCACCTCCCGGAACTTACTCAAACTCATGTCCATTGAGTCGGTGATGCCATCCAACCATCTCATCCTCTGTCGTTCCATTCTCCTCCTGCCTTCAATCTTTTCCAGCATCAGGGTCTTTTCCAATGAGTCAGTTCTTCGCATCAGGTGGCCAAAGCACTGGAGTTTCAGCTTCAGTATCAGTCCTTCCAATGAATATTCAGGCCTGATTTCCTTTAGGATGGACTGGTTGGATCTCCTTGCAGTCCAAGGGACTCTCGAGAGTCTCCTCTAACACCACAGTTCAAAAAGCATCAATTCTTCTGCGCTCAGCTTTCTTCATAGTCCAACTCTCACATCCATACATGACTACTGGAAAAACAACAGCTTTGAGTAGATGGACCTTTATTGGCAAAGTAATATCTCTGCTTTTTAATATGCTGTCTAGTTTGGTCATAGCTTTTCTTCCAAGGAGCAAGTGTCTTTTAATTTCTTGGCTGCAGTCACCATTTGCAGTGATTTTGGAGCCCAAAAAAAGAAAAAAAAGTCTGTCACTTTCCACTGTTTCCCCATCTATTTGCCATGAAGTGATGGGACCAGATACCATGACCTTAGTTTTCTGAATGTTGAGTTTTAAACCAACTTTTTCACTCTCCTCTTTCACTTTCATCAAGAGGCTCTTTACTTCTTCACTTTCTGCCATAAGGGTGGTGTCATCTGCATATCTGAGGTTATTGATATTTCTCCCGGCAATCTTGATTCCAGCTTGTGCCTCATCCAGTCCAACATTTCTCATGACGTACTCTGCATAAATAAGCAGGGTGACAATATACAGCCTTGATGTACTCCTTTCCTGATTTGGAACCAGTCTGTTGTTCCATGTCCAGTTCTAACTGTCACTTCTTGATCTGCATACAGATTTCTCGGGAGGCAGGTCAGGTGGTCTGGTATTCCCATCTCTTTAAGAATTTTCCACAGTTTATTGTGATCCACACAGTCAAAGGCTTTGGTGTAGTCAGTAAAGCAAATTCCATGGACAGAGGAGCCTGGCAGGCTAGAGTCCGTGGGGTCACAAAGAGTCAGACTCGACTGAGCGACTGACACTACACTACTAGGTGTTTTTCTGGAACTCTCTTGCTTTTTCAATGATCCAACGGATGTTGGCAATTTGCTGGCTTTTCTAAATCCAGTCTGAATATCTGGAAGGTCATGGTTCACATATTGTTGAAGCCTTAGGTGGAAAATTAGTCTTAGACGAAACCATTTTGAAGAAAGGGAGATTCCAAAGCAAATACATAATTTCATTACTATAGCTTAAAAAAACATTTCCATAAGAAAAACGCATTGGCATAGCTCAAGGCACAACCAGATGTCATCAACACATAATTAAAAGAAAGTGAAAGTGAAGTTGCTCAGTTGTGTCCTACCCTTTGTGACCCCGTAGACTGTAGCCCACCAGGCTCCTCTGTCCACGGGATTCTCCAGATAAGAATACTGGAGTGGGTTGCCATTTTCTTCTCCAGGGGACCTTCCCAACCCAAGGATCGAACCCACGTCTCCTGCATTGCAGGCAGACGCTTTAACCTCTGAGCCACCAGGGAAACCAGGCTCTTTAAATTTTGTGTAGAGAAGGGAAAAAACGTCTGCCACTTGCAGTTTATTTCCTCCTGCTACTTGAGGATCTCTGGCCTTTCTACCTGTTACCCTCTCAGACTGCAGCAAGCCAGGGTCTTCTGCACTATCTCCCCGAGTTTCCTTAAATTCACGCCCACTGAGTCAGTGATGCTCATCTAACTATCTCATCCTCTTCAGCCCCCTTCACCTTTTGTCTTCAATCTTTGTTGTTGTTGTTGTTCAGTCACTCAGTTGTGTCCAGCTCTTTGTGACCCCATGGACTACAGCACACCAGGCCTCCCTGTCCTTCACTGTCTCCCAGAGCTTGCTCAAACTCATGTTCATCGAGTCAGTGATGCCATCCAACCAGCTCCTCCTCTGTCGTCCCCTTTCCCTCCTGCCTTCAATCCTTCCCAGCATCAGGGTCTTTTCCAGTGAGTTGATTCTTCGCATTATGTGGCCAAACTTCTGTGCTCTGTCTAAAGTTACCATCCTCCACCTAGGTGGGGGCCTTAGCTCTGATAAAAAGACTCAAAGATATATTGTTACCATAGCCCCGGAGGAGGAACCAGGACTCTGCCTATCACGGAACTATTGTTTCCGGACTGCTCTTCCTTTGTCTCCACACTCCTCTACTTCCTAATTAGAAGCTGTTTAAAACTGCCCTTTGAAACTTAGGGAAGGTAGTCTGCCATTTTCTCGGTAAGCCAGCTTTCCAAATAAAGTCATATTCCTTACCTCAACATCTCCTCTTTTGGATTCATTGGCCTGTTGTGCCATGAGCAGAGTGAGCTTGGACTTGGTAACAAAATAGGGGCTTCCTCAACAGCTCAGTGTAAAGAATCCGCCTGCAATGAAGGACACACCCTTTAGCTCCCTGGGTTGGGAAAACCCCCTGGGGGAGGAAGTGGCAACCCACTCCAGTATTCTTGCCTAGAGAATCCCCATGGACCGAGGAACCTGGGGGGCTACAGTCCGTGCGGTCGCAAAGAGTCGGACACGACCGAGCACGCACACATTTTACATAGCACATAAAGTACTATCTCATCCTCAATAAAATTTATAGCATTAAAATTTAAAACAAAAAAGAGTTAACTAATCAAAGCAGCATGCAAACGAACACATCTTACAGGTCTGCAAAAAAACCCAAGGAATTTATAGAAATGATACTTTGGTAGGGTAAGCAGGACACATCATTCTGTACCAACAGTAGTGCCCACAGTGTGCAAAGCATTATGTAATACACGGAGATTAAATAAGCCACGGTCTCTGCTCTGCTTGTTGCCAAAATCTTGGCTCTCTGTGCACCAATGCCAAACATAAATATGGAGACAGTTATGGAGGAGAAAGAAAGAGTGGCTGGCCACAAAGAAACAGCGGGGTCTCAAGAAACCTGCCCCACTCAGGGGTGAGTAGGCGGAGGTTACATAGTCAGGCAAGGGTGTGTGATAAGGATCTAGGCAGTAATAGTCTTGCCTTCTTTCTTCTGCAAAAGGGTGAGGTTGTATGCAGGGTCTTAGGCGGTTGGGGCTCCGAACCTTGAGCCACTCTGGTCCCTTTAATCTTGCCTCAGGTAGTTTCCTGATTGTTCCTCCCTTGATTAACAACTGTTCTGCTCTTTGGAACTCAGAGGTCATGGAGACTGGAGTTCTGACTCTAAGAAATGGGGTACAAAAAGACCTTTGTGCCCAGGAGCCCCACAGGGCCTTGCTTGACATCTTGCTCCCAGGCACAAAACATTATTACCTAAACATGATGCAAACTGCTGGGAATACCAAGCGTCTTGAGAAGGAAAGATGAATTTAACTCTGATCCAAAGTACAAAGATCACTGGGGGTGAGGTTGGGGAGTACTCTCTCTAGGGCTCTGTGGGGGTTGGGGATGTAGTAACTAAGAGCCAGAAAAATTCCAGGTGGGGCAAAAGTAGGAGTTCAGCCTTGAGCAGAAAGGGAAGGAGGAAGCCTGCATAGGAATGTAGGGATCTGGGCACAAAAGTGGGTGGAACCAGTGGGCTCCGCCCCGTGTCCTCCTCCCTCCTCCTCCCCCTGCCCCAACCTACTCACTGCCGAGTGCGCCGAGACAGGTGAGGAAGTCCTAGCGCAGGTAAGAGGGCAGGAGGGTCAGGCCTTTGGGGCTGGGGTCTAAGGAGGGCGTCTGGCCCCTTTCTAGAACCTGTGACTCCTTTGTGTGCAGAGCTCAGGAGACTCTTGAGAGGCTGCCAGGGAGTTACTGCTGCGTTGCGAAGCAAAGAAAAGTCTCCCAAACCAGCCTCGGAGCCCCTTCAGTAAAAACTTCAGGCAGGACACTTGAAGTCTGAGTTTACTGGGTTAGGGCCCATAGAGGGTGGTGGGCCCTGACAGACGTGGGACGTGGAGAGTTTAAGAATTAGCTGGGCTGAGGTCCGCCACTCAAGATCCTTGTCTGTAAGACTCTCAGGTAGTTGTATCCTGTGTGTACAGTTTTCTCCCCCTGACTGGAGGAAATGGGAAAACGGGGGTCCAATAGGGTAAGACTGAGACCAGACTGAGGGCTTGGGACTGGGGGCGGGGGGTAGATTTAGAGACAGCAAAAATAAGGGGCGTGGCCTGCCCATCACCTGGATTCCTGAGATGCCGTGGAGCATGGAGACGCCCCAGGCAGGGCCTGCCCACTACTGGGAGCTGGAAGGCATAGAAATGTGGAGCTGGAAGAGAGATCACAGAGAAGAAAGAAAAATGAAGGAACTAGGGGTCGTGGCGCAGCAAATACCCTCACACAGGGGCTGGGAGTCAGAACTCCTGGGCTGGTTTCCTGGCTGCTCCACATATATTGATACCCTGGGATCATTCTCCTAGGTGATCCTAGAGAAAACTCCAGAGCTGGGGGGTGGGGGGACCCTGCAGATTATTTCTTTGGGCCATTTATTTTGATTTGAGATGGAAAGAACAAAGCCAGACAGAGGTGTCTGATAGGCTTACTTTGAAATGTGACCTAGCCGCGATGCCAACTGCTAGTTTGGACACAACAACTGTGCATCTTTTTGCAGGAGCCTGGGGAGGGGCCATGGTGCCAGGCCAGCCGTGGGGGAAACTGGAGAAGCCGCTTCTCTTCCTGTGCTGCACCTCCTTCCTCCTGGGGCTGGCTTTGCTGGGGATACGGCCGGACATCGCCCCTGTGGCTTATTTCTTTCTCAGCTTGGGTGGCTTCTTTTTGTTGGTCTGCCTCCTGGCCTGTGTTTTGGAATGGGGGTCTCGATCAGGGCAGACCGAGAGCCCAGGGGCCTCCAGCAATGCACGGTGAGTTGAGGGGTGGACAGGACTGGAAGAGTACACGTGGACCCATTCTCCCTTTGTGCTTCTGGCATACAGACTCTGCTTTCCCCGGTCACTGGTAGCAGGGAGTGGAGGGGTCTTTTCCTGGTAGAAGACAGAAAAGGGAAAAAGGCGCCTTTCAGAAGCCACTAATGGCCTTATTTCTCCCCCCTCACTCAGGGACAATGAAGCCTTTGAGGTGCCAACCTATGGTGAAGCCACAGTGATGGAGCCGCAGCCCCACCCCCAAGAGCTGGACCTACCACCCTCTTACAGCAGCATTGTAATCCCCCCAGGACTTGAGGAGGGACAGCCTAACCATCCAGAGGAGCCCAGGAGAGCCAGACTGGACAGGCGAGTGGGCTCAGAGGGGTCTGTGACCTCAGCAAGTCCTAGAAGACCTCCAATCAGCCTGCGGCTTCGGTGGTCACGGACTGTGTCCACTGTTCCTGATCTGCAGACCTTGTGGACGCCCCCCAGATTGGAACCTCTGACTCCACCGCCTGCCTATGAAGTCAGCTGTGGTCACTCTGATGATGATGTTTTCTATGGAAACAACTGGACACCCTCCTAAAGGACTTTCTGAGGATATATCATCTTTCAGCACCAGACCCACTCATTCTTTGGACCATTGCCTCCCAGTGCCTGTCATGTGTCAGGAACTGTGTCCCCACCTGGACATCACACATGCAGGCTTTGACCCAGAGAGGAGTTGGGCTGTGGTGAGCCCTGCCCGGTTTTGAGGTGGCCCATCCCAAAGATGCAGGTGGCACCATTTGAGTCTTCAGGCAATATTCAGCAACCTACCCCATATCCAGAGTTAGGCTGAGGGTGAGATGAGGAGGTGATCCAGAGAATCTAGGGAAAGAAGAAAAGAAACAATACCCGAGTGACATTCTGATGCTTCTGTTCCAGGTGCTTTGGCTCTATTAGATCACAAAAATGAGGTGTAATTGCCCTCATTTATTAAACGAGGACCCTAATGGTCAGAAAAAAAATTGATAGTTTGCACAGGAGCACTCTGCTAGTAAATGACACAGTCTTGAACTTTGCTCTTCAGATCTCATTGCCTCTGTCTTTTCTTTTTTTTTCTTTTTGAGTTGTTTTATCTGGAACAAAATGAAGAATATAGCCCAGGAGATAGCATTTCAAATAGTTCTGAGAAACTGCTCCAAAGAGGTAGGGGGGTAAGGTCAGTATGTATTTGATTTCTTTTTTTAAGTTTAATTGAGGATAATTGCTTAACAATGTTGTGTTGGTTTCTGCCATACAACATGAATTGGCCCTAAGCATAGATATATCCCTTCTGTCTTGAGCCACCATCCCACCCCCCCCCCAGCTTGTCACCGAGCACCACACAGCAACTTCCCACTAGCTGTTTACTTTACACAAGATAATGTATATATTTCAGTGCTACTTTCTCAGTTCATCCCATCCTCTCCTTCCCCAGCTGTGCTCACAAATTCATTCTCTACATCTGTGTCTCTGTTCCTGCCCTACAAATAGGTTCATCAGTACCATTTTTCTAGATTATGTGTGTGTGTGTGTGTGTGTGTGTGTATGTATATATATATACACACACTGTATCAATATGGGCTTCCCAGGTGGCACCAGTGGTAAAGAACCTGCCTGCCAATGAAGGGACACACAAGAGATGCAGGTTCAATCCCTGGGTCGGGAAGATTCCCCTGGAGGAAGGCATGACAACCCACTCTGGTATTCTTGCCTGGAGAATCCCATGGACAGGAGCCTGACAAGCTACAACCCATAGAGTCGCAGAGTCAGACACAACTGAAACTACTTAGCATGCTCAAACATGCATTAATAGACAGTATTTGTTTTTCTCTTTCTGATTTACTTCACTCTGTGTAACAGGCTCTAGGTTTATCTACCTCAGTTTGTATTTTCAGTACAAGGCAACAGAAGCCAGTTCCCCCAAGCATCTCTGTCCTGTCTTGGGCAGTGGCTGGTGAGGGGGTGGAGGACTTCCTGTATACAGAATGGGGGACCACTTGTGTCTGCAGACAGGACAAACTGAGTGTACCAGGAGTGCACCAGCCTCCTAGAGGAGCAGAGGGAATTGCACCTGTGATGGCCCCTGTTCCAGAAAGGGAGCAATTCCAGCATGGTGGTGCTGGGGGGCTGGAGTGAGAGTGAAAGTCGCTCAGTTGTGTCAGACTCTGCGACCCCATGAACCATACAGTCCATGGAATTCTCCAGGCCACAATACTAAAGTGGGTAACCTTTCCCTTCTCCAGGGGATCTTCCCAACCCAGGGACTGAACCCAAGTCTCCCACACTGTAGCGGATTGTTTACCAGCTGAGCCACAGGGGAAGCCTAAGAACACTGGAGTGGGTAGCCTATCCCTTCTCCAGCGGATCTTCCGGACCCAGGAGTCAAACCCGGCTCTCCTGCATTTCAGGTGGATTCTTTACCGACTGAGCTATCAGCAGGGCTGGAGAGCAGTTCCCAATGCAGGGTCCCCATCTGATGGGGAAGTGGTGGGTTAAACCGCCCCAGGGGGAGAGACTTCTGATTTTCAGGATGGGTGGATATGATGATCAACCCGACCTTCTTGTTGAGAGGTGGTGGAATATCTTCTTAGAAAGTGAAAGTCGCTCAGTCGTGTCTGACTCTTTGCGACCCCATGGATTGTAGCCTACCAGGCTTCTCCGTCCATGGGATTTTCCAGGCAACAGTATTGAAGTGGGTTGACATTTCCTTCTCCAGGGGATCTTCCTGACCCAGGGATCGAACCCAGGTCTCCAGCATTGTAGGCAGACGCTTTTACCGACTGAGCCACCAAGGAAGTCGAATATCTAAGGATCTCTCATAAATCATCTATTATATGAGGCACTGGAGCTACTTTAGTGCTGTCTCCAATTGCTTCAGCCTCACCCCTGCGCTGCGACGCTGGGTTTTACCCCAGGCTCCCTGACCAGCTTCCTCATATCCAAACAGAACGCCAGCTTCTCCGTAATCACGGGCTGAGCCTGTGACACAGGTTTGAGCCCGAGGGAGCTGCTCAACCATCGCCGACCCACGTTTCTCACTCTTTGCGCGGGGAATCCCGTCTAGCGACTTCCAGTGCTTTCCTTGCCTTCCCTACCCCGGTCCCAACAGTTCAATAAGTTGAAAAGTCCGGCCACACCCATCTCCACAGAGTTCTCTCAATTCGCGGATGAGGAGAGGTGGGCGGTGCAGGGGAGGGAGCTGTGATTTCCGCGGGAACCGTCGACCAATCGGATGGCGACGTAGGGCGGGGCGGCCCTCGCTTCCCCTTCCGCCTAGCGCGCTCGCTCGCCCCATTGGTCAGCGCGCCCACCGTGCGGGTTCTGCGCCTGCGCGCGCTGCGGCGGCCGCTCCAGCGGGGCCGGCCCCGCGTAGGGGGCGGAGCTAGGAGAGGCACTGCGCAGGCGCGTTGCGCGCCGGCGTACAGGGGAGGGATGCTGAGGACCCGGAGGCTCGCGGTGTGTTTGGGCTCTGGGGGCTGCGCGCATTGCCCGGGAAAAGCGGGAAATGGCGGCGCCCAGCGCGGGCTCCCGGTCCGCCCTCCAGCCAGAGGAGCAGATGGCCGCTGATAGGGGGCGCAGGTGAGTGGGGAGAGTCCGGGGGTCCTTAGTGGGTCCGAGGGGAGGAACAGAGGTTTCTGGAGTGTGGTCCTGACGCCGCCTCACCTCGGAAGCCCCTGGAAGCAGCTGTATCCGTGCTTCCAGCCAAAGAAGCGGTGACCAAGGGGAGCGCAGGAGGGCGAATCTCTTCTGGGCCTTGTCCCTCTCGTGCACAGACTCGCCAGCCTCCATTACTTCCAAGGCACGGGGCTCTGAACCAAGGGATCTCTTTTCAGTCCCGCCAAATCTCGGCTTCTCTTAAAAGAGTCTTTCTCTTTTCTGTTTCGTGGCTCCCTTTTTAGGAACTAAATTGCTGTCTTAAAAACCTGTGAGACCTGCAGACCTCTGCCTGGTGTGCATTTGTTTTAGGTCGAATAGATCATGATCTGTATTGCATTGGGTGTAATGATCAGATTTTCAAAGCATTCCACAGAGGTGTTGGGATTTGAGTACCTTGAGATTTGAGACAAGGAGGTACCCGAGGCTCCGAGTGTGCCTCGGTCTCTGCCCTAGGTAAATCCTTTCATGGCAGACCCAGAAGATTAACTGAGGGCTTTGGAACCAGACCTGCAGGACACAGACTCAGGACTTTTAAGACTCGCCTTTGCGTCCTTTTTCTCCACTGCCTCCTCCCTTTCCAGATGTGTCTTAAAGTTCTGAGTGATTGTGGTTACTTCTGAAAAGTCCGTGTTTGAAACTGCCCAAGATATGGAATACTGGAAGGAGCAGGTGTGTGGAGAATGGATGGTGCTTCAAATTAAACCCTAATGAGTTACTGATTGAAAATTTAAGTCCAGAATTTGGAGTTAAGAACTGAGTGTCGAATAGTGAATTGTGTGAATGAGATGGAATGGGAAGAGACTTTGAGAGGGATTGTCGACGTTTAAGGGCAGACCAAAGGTCCTGTGAGGGAAAACGGACCTAGTAGGGAGAGAGGGGAACTGGAGAGAATGGTGTTATGGAAACCAAGGGAGGATAAAGTTTCAAGGAGAAAATACTAGTAAATTAAGAGAAAAAAGTTGAGTAAACTGCCCCACCATTGGTATGTATCCTGAGGAAATATCCAGTATCCAGCTGCGATGTTATCCTGCAACTGACCTATTAACACTTATTTTTATCAGAGTTCATGCATGTTTGCTTTGGTGTGTGTTCCAAGGTGATTCTTTAAAAAAAAGTATTTATTTATTTATTTATGGCCGTGCTGAGTCTTTGTTGCTGCATTTGGGGCTTTCTCTAGTTGCCAGACTCGTCATTGTAGCGCTTTCTCTTGTTGAGGAGCACAGGCTCTAGGGCGCGCTGACTTCAGTAGTTGTGGCTCCTGGGCTCTGAAGCACAGGCTCAGTAGGCGTAGCACACGGGCTTAGTTGCTCTGCTTCATGTGGGATCTTCCTGGACCAGAAATCACCATGTTTCCTGCATTGGGAGGTGCCAAGGTGATTCTTAATGACGTTTCTGATTTCTCTATAGATTATATTGTTGTAGCAGGTTTTCAATGAATCTATGGGATAATAGGAGTATTACAATAGAACAGAAACAAGAAGTTAAAGCAGAGTTTCAAACATCACTGTCCCAAACCCCAAAATCAATGAAAGTTGGCTACCTATAGCCCTGGGCCATGGAGAAGGAAATGGCAGCCCACCCCAGTATTCTTGCCTGGGAAATCCCATGGACAGAGGAACCCAGCAGCTACAGTCAATGGGGTCACAAAAGAGTTGGACACAACTTAATGATTAAACAACACAACTCTGGGGGTGTTTAAATGGCTGGTTCCTCTGCCTTTGGATTTCTCGTGCCTCAGAAGCTCTTCCAAAGCTGCTTTTCCCTCTTCCAATCTAGAATTAAGCCATTGACATTCTACAAATGTGTGGTATTTCACTGATTCTGAGATATATGTTCCCCTCACTCTCTACCCCCACACAAGCACACTTTAACATCTTTGAAATCAGGATGCATTTTAAAATAGATTTTTACATTACAGACTGAAGCTGTTACCGTATTCCTTTCTTACTGCCATCAGATCCTCACTGTTGTTATGTATTTGGAAACTAACTGAGCAGGCTGGCAAGTCCGGGGTTTAAATATACCAAGGCATATAGATGGTATATATCGGAAATAGGATTCTTTTAGTTCATCAGCAGAAGCTGATCTTTTTCCAAATGCATGGCAAAACGAAGGAGTTCTTGAAAGCATCCCTCATAAATTAAATTACCAAAATAATTTAGCCTTTACAGGCACTAACCCTGTAAGTGATTTCAAGTTACGTTGATTGTTTCTGTCATTGGCATTTATCTGCTGTCACTTACTGTCAGACTTTCTACTTAATCCGGTTCTTAGAGGATTCTGGTCGTTTCTGGTGTCATTTTGTCACAGGAGCTAACAGTTTTAAAAAACCATAGTTTTAGTAGGTGTAAGTGGGCTGCCCAGGTGGCGCTAGTGGTAAAGAACCTGCCTGCCAGTGCAGGAGATGTTAAGAGACATGGGTTCAATCCCTGGGTCAGGAAGATCCCCTGGAGGAGGGCTTGGCAACCCACTGCAGTATTCTTGCCTGGAGAATCCCATGGACAGAGGAGCCTGGCGGGCTTACAGTCCTTAGGGTCACAAAGAGTCGGACACGAGTGAAGCAAATAAGCACAGCACATAGCACAGTACAGGCTTGAGAAGGAGGGTGTGTGTGTGTGTGTGATTTATTTTATATTAAAGTTGTCCGTTGAGTTTTTGCCATTGTATTAAATTATTTCTCACAGAGGATTATTTTCAGTCACTGTCAGCAACTTAGACAAGTAATGGGAAATGTTTTCTGAAGTACTCCTTAATTAAAATTGGTCTGTCAAAGGAATATTCCTTATTGTGAATATGTACTTGTGTGTGTGTGATTTTTGTCACGAAAGATGCTTATTCTAATCAGAACACAGATGATCTCAGCTGAACATCCTCTGTAAAGGATTGTGTATCATTTGCTTATAATCAGTGTGTTACTGCCTAATAACAATACTTCTGTGATTTTAAGCAGATTCAGTAAAGTATGTCTTAGTTATCGGAAGTCCTGTTCTTTATGTTTTTCTTGCCGACGCCTCTTGCACCCAACTCCTCTGTGCCAGATCTTGTATTGATGGCTTTTCTGTCCGCCTTTTATCTGCAGGATGTTGAGAGGGTGTGGCATGCATCCTGACCATCAGGAAGCTCTCAAAAAGAACCGCGTGGTGCTAGCCAAAGAGCTGCTACTGAGCGAACTGTTGGAACACCTCCTGGAGAGGGACATTATCACCTTGGAAATGAGAGAGCACATTCAGGTATCTGGAGGCAAACGAGGAAAGCCAAGGAAATGCATTGGTGGTCGGAATAAGAACAGAGCACAGTACAGTGGGGGTAAGATGTCATGCTTCACTAAGGCAGTGAAAATGCATTTCTGCCCTCAAGCATTTGACAGAGAAGACAGAATCCACGAGTGATGGGAAGGAGTTCACACATCCGTTTCTTTCTGTGAAAAGGAGTCCTTGAGACGGATGATGATGTTAGTGCGAAGCTCGCCTGGAGAAATAGGATTCCAGCTGGGTGAGTAAAGGTGACGTCGTGTTTTATTCTCGTAGGCCAAGACGGGCAGTTTCGGCCAGAACGTGGAACTCCTCAACTTGCTGCCCAAGAGAGGCCCCCAGGCCTTTGATGCCTTCTGTTTGGCCCTGAGGGAGACTAAGCAGAGCCACCTGGAGGAGCTGCTGCTCAGAACCCTGTCCGGTCTTCAGCCTGTAGTCCCGCCGGTATGGAGCCCTAGGCTGTGTGTGTTGAGAAGGGCTAGTCTGGTGGGAAAGGCTTCTTTGAGACAGTGGGGATGGGTTGGGGTAGGGGGACTAGGGTTCTGTATTACTTGATCTGGACCAGCTCCTCTGAGCCTGGCTTGGTGGGTCCTTCTTTCTTACAGTTGAGCTACGACTATGACCTGAGTCTCCCTTTTCCGATGTGTGAGTCCTGTGCCCGCCAGAAGCGGCTCCGCCTGTCTCCAGGTAAGAATTGATGATGTAAAATAGCACATCTTTGCCCACCACCCCCCCTCCCCAACCAGTCCCCCCTTGCAGATTGACTTCCATTTCCTTGACTGGTCTCTGACTTTGCCTAGTGTGATAGCTATTTTTGTTCATAATTGGCAGTTTCCTCAGTGCATTTGTTAGGGACCAGCAGGACAGTTTAGGTGGGGTGTAGGTTGCACCTGTTTTCCTTCCATCACAGATGATTTTTTTTAAATGGTGATTGGCCCTTGGAGCGACTGATGCAGGTAGTAGACTCCTGCACGTGATTGGTCTGTCTCTTTATAGAGCTGAGTTACTTTGCAGTGAGGAAAGACTATACTGTGGGCCTCTAGCCTGCTGACTGATTAGCCTAGTGATTAGAATAAGACATTTATCAGATACCCCATTCAGTCATTCAGTAGGGTGAGCACCTACTACTATAGGCAGGCCAAGTGCAGAGGATCCCTTGATGAGCAAAACCAAACAGGCCGTCTATCTCCGTAGTGCTTAACAAACCAGGGGAGTGAGCAAGACCGAAGGGAACCTGAAGTTATATGAAAATACTAAGAATGCCAGGTAGACTTTAAGCTAGTTTTTCGGCTCTGTGCGCCACAGATGCGGTGGAACACTCCCTAGACCACGGAGATGGTCCTCCCTGCCTTCAGGTGAAGCCCTGCACGCCTGAGTTTTATCAAACACACCACCAGCTGGTGAGTCTTGGGAAATGGGAAGAGGAAAGGCACTGAGAAATGAAATACCCTTCCTGGGCATCTGAACATAGCAAGCTTGTGTATACATCATTTCCTTCTCATCTTGTGAGTCCCCAAAGCGTTGCCCATTGACTGTCTCCTGTGGGCACTTCTATATTTTGACCTGGTGGGGCTACGAAGAACAATGTTGATGTCTTTGTTTTCTTGAAATGTCTCCTTTGGGGGGGGCGGGGGGCACAGTTTCTGTCCTCAGGAAGCTGACAGTCTCGTTGGGTGCCCCTCCCCAGGCCTACAGGCTGCAGTCTCGGCCCCGCGGCCTGGCACTGGTGCTGAGCAACGTGCACTTCACTGGAGAGAAAGACCTGGAATTCCGCTCGGGAGGGGATGTGGACCACAGCACTCTCGTCACCCTCTTCAAGCTCTTGGGCTACAAAGTTCACGTTTTTCTTGACCAGACCGCACAGGTAGGTACCTGAGGCGCAGGACCTGCTGACGTGTGCGTCAGAGAACTGGTGACATGTGGGGGCCAGACACATCCATGCTCCTATGCCAGGCGGGCTGAGCTTTACTAGAGTTATTCTCTCTGCCTACATTTTGCTTATTGTATTCTGTCTCCCACCTTGCAGTCTAGTTTTTAAAAAAGGAAAGAGGGACTTCCCTGGTGGCCCAGTGATAAAGAATCCACCTCCCAGTGCAGGAGACATGAGTCCGATCCCTCATCTGGGAGGCTCCCACGTGTCTCAGCAACTAAGCCCACGCGCCACAATTTCAGAACCTGTGCTCTAGAGCCCGGGAGCCACAACCCCTGAGCCCGAGGTCCTGGAGCCTGTGCTTCACATCAAGAGGGTAGCCCCCTGCTCTCCTAAATTAGAGAAGAGCCCTCCCAGGAAGACCCAGCACAGCCAAAATACATACATAAATTTTTAAAAGGAGGAGAGAGAGAAAGATCTGGGCCCAGCCGGCTGCTGTAGTGTTGACCTCTCAGGGTGGGTGTGCTCCCTGAGTAAGAATGGTCCAGGGTTGGGTCTTCCCACGCTAAACTTGTTTCCCAAGCACTCAGGAGGCGAGGAGACACTGATACGCACCCGGCCAACCTAGAAAAGGTACATATAATAAGTCACGACTACACAGGACAGTAAATGGCAACCCACTCCAGTATTCTTGGCTGGGGAATCCTGTGGACAGAGGAGCCTGGTGGGCTGCTGTCCATAGGGTCGCACAGAGTCGGACACAACTGAAGCGACTTAGCATGCGTGCATGCATTGGAGAAGGAAATGGCAACCCACACCAGTAATCTTGCCTGGAGAATCCTGTGGACAGAGGAGCCTCGTGGGCTGCTGTCCATAGGGTCGCACAGAGTCAGACACGACTGAAGCAACTTAGCATGCATGCATGCATTGGAGAAGGAAATGGCAACCCACACCAATAATCTTGCCTGGAGAATCCCAGGGACAGAAGAGCCTGGTGGGCTGCCGTCTGTGGGGTCACACAGAGTCGGACACGACTGAAGCGACTTAGCAGCAGCAGCACACAGGACAGTGACTTCTTGACTGCTGCTGCTGCTTAGGATTCCAGCTGTTGTTCTCATGATGCCGTTGGCAGATAAAAGTTTGCTAGAACTGTGCTTGTAAAATACTGTTTTGTTGCTGTTTCATGAATTAACATGACCTGTTGTTACAACTTGTGTGACCACAAGACAGATCTTTGGGTAGATAACTTCTGAACTAGATTCCTATAGGTCATCAGCATTTTTGTGATCAGTTAGTCTCCGTTAGCCTCAATTATTGGCTGTACCACTGACTTTTTTACCTTTAGGGAGTTCTGTTTTGAAACTGAAAATAGTCCATTGGTAGATCAGTACTAATTCTTTCATTTGATTCTAGGAAAACAATACTCTCCTAAACATGCCTTTGGGAATGTCCATGGTAAAATTAAGGTTTCTAGGAGATTCTCTTTGATCTGTTGAGGTAGGGGGGTCCTGGTCTGTCTTCAGCATTGTCTGTGGATTTCATTTCTGTTACTCAGTTGTCTTACTTGTATGAGATAGATTATGTATTTGCTAAACTTTGGGTAAGGCCGGTTTCAACCTGAATGTTGTCCTTTACACGTTGTTGCCAGCTTCTATAGTGGTAGCGGCTCCTGCAAAGGAGTAAACTCACCCTTGCTTCAAAGCCATGGCTAGAACAGGTTCTTTGATCATCAGGTACTTGAGAGTCTGCTGGGCTTGGAGTAAGGGTGGGACAACAGTAGTGATTCTTTCAGAGGGAATCCTATTAGAAGGTCATTTTTTAAAAATGCTATTTATGTTTCTTTAGAGGTTTTGGTCTAATCACTCCTTTTCCTAGGAATTTACTCTGTCTCTGTCTTTGTTTTCCAAATTTTATGCAATTGATAAAGGATTTTATGTGCCTTATAGTTAAAAGATACATCCCTAATCACCAAGTCAGCTGTGGGCTCCTGCTTCTTGTTGACGTTCAGTAGCTGTGATGGGCCTATGAGCCCACTTCACAGATCTCATTCCCTGATGCAGATTCAAGGACCTTTTGGATTTTGATTCTCTGATTACATTGTTCTATAACCTGAATAGCAGCAGAGTTCAATTTTGAGCCCCTTATAATGGGAGACTATGTGAGCTGCCATAGCTTCCCTGATAGCTCAATAGGTGAAGAATCCGCCTGCAATGTAGGACCTCGGTTCGATTCCTGGGTTGGGAAGATCCCTTGGAGCCTTAAGGGATAGGCTACCCACTCCAGTATTCTTGGGCTTCCCTTGTGGCTTAACTGATAAAGAATCCACCTGCAATGCAGGAGACCTGGGTTTGATCCCTGGGTTGGAAAGATCCCCTGGAGAAGGAAAAGGCTACTCACTCCAGTTCTGGCCTGGAGAATTCCATGAAATGTATAGCCCATGGGGTCCAAAGAGTCGGACACAACTGAGTGACTTTCACTTTGGATTTTGAGGCCCTTATAATGGGGAACTATATGAGCTCTCAGAAATTTTTTAAAATGTGAACCTTGAATTCAAGGGACCTCAGTTAGATGAGGGAGTCTTGACATCAGTTAAAAAAAAAAGCAACAGCACGTCCCCTAATGTTCCTAAGACCGCAAAAGATTAGAGACAGTGTCTTCTGCAGTACTGAAGGGGAAGAAGCCTTGCCCTGGGTAGATGTGGTCGGGAGGGTAAATGGAGGGTGAGAGGCTTCAGCTGCCCTTGAAGGGCGGAAGCTGCTGAGGAGACAGGAGTGAAGGGATCTTGCACAGCGGGGCACAGCGCACAGCCTAGAGCTGTGTGTGGTGTGCGGGGCCTTGCGGTGAACCAAGCGTCTGTGGCCCAGGAGTGCCAAAGACAAGATTGGAAATCAAGGGGCCAGAATCCCCAGGGCTTGAATGTCTTCCCAAAGGAATTGGACTTCTTGTGTTGACAGTCCAACATCATTAGTAGTTTTTGAATAGAAAGGTGATGCATTCACAGTGATGATTCAGGAAGATTAATACGATACCATTGTAAAGAATGAGGTAGCAGGCTTCCCTGGCGGTCCAGTGGTTAAGACTTAATGTTTCCAATGGATGGAGTGCAGGTTCAGTCCCTGGCTGGGGAACTGAGACCCCCCACATGCTGTGGGGTGTGGCCAAAGAAAAAAAGAGTTAAGTTAGAGACCAGTGGCAGGGAATGCAGCTTGGAGTTAATATATTAACTCCAGTTCATCTCAGTATGAGATGGCAGGGGTTCTGAACAGGATAGCGGACCAAAAGGAAAAGAGCACATGTGAAAAATAGTATAATGGCATGATTGTACTGTCAGTGCTTTGTGACTGAATCACTACATATGGAAGAAGAAGGAAAACATAAGGAATTGAGAGCCTCACAGGAAGTCAGGACCAAAGATGTGAATTTGGGAACTACTTGTATAGGAAAAAGACTTTTAAGTAATGAGAGCCTATGATCTTTGAGAAAGAGCAAAAGGGCTAGGACTGAGCCTTGAGAATATCGCCCTCCACGTATCTAGCCCTCAGCAGCTCTGGAGATGCAGAACAGCAGGACGAGGCAGTCAGTTTCTGACAGTGGCCAGGCAAGCTTGCAGTCATGGTTGACACCAGATGATGGCAGTGGTGTGACCATTTGGTGCAATGGGCATTTGCACAGGAATACTTTCTTCCTGATCGAATGTCCTCAGCAGGCCAGAGACAGAACCAAGAAAATTTAGATCCTCTTTTTCTCCCCCTATTATTCCTTTTTTGCTTTAGAGATAGTATTACTTAAAAATCTGAGATGGTGTGATCTTGAAGAATTGTCTTACGCTGACGGTGCTGGTGAGCACGCTGGTGTCTTCCCTGCCCACGGAAGTGTTTGGTGCTTCTGTTCTTCATCAGAGTTTGTTCTTGTTGCTTCCACCTCATGAGGTTACTAGTTCTAGAATTACAATTTATTGTGTGTTAGGCAATGAGATACCCTTTAAAGTGGCAGATTTCTTTTCACCAGGTATTGGTTTATAGCTTGCATTTGGTCACAGATGGTTTTGAGAGTATAGCGACGAGCTATGGGTCATCTCTGAAAAATGCAACTACCCATAGGATTTTGTGTGTAGTTTCCGGGAGTTCACAGGTTATTTCCTTCTTCTGTGTCCCCCAGCCAAAAACACATGCAAGTGTGAAGAGCCCTGCTATTTATAGAAGCACTGTAATTTTATCAAAAATAGATCTCAAGATCCTATTTTAAGCTATGCTGCTTTCAGAAAAATTCCCCCAAATGACTAACCCCCATTTATTCAGTGGTTTAGTCTTATTAAATTCAGTTACAAAGCCTGTCTGTTCTTACTGTGGATTTTGTTGTCTTCTGTTTACTGATGTAATAACCTCAGTTAAGTTCTAAATGCTTCTGATTGCCAAACCTATACTTTTATTCCCTTGGAGCAAAATTAGCTTCCACTGTTACTTGTTAAATTCTGTTATAGTCAACTCCAGAGGAGCAGTCATAAGTTATATGTATTCTCTGGAGATTATATATTATTGAATGAATTTTGGATATCTTTTATTACCTTAAGATCTCCGGAATTATGGTTGGGTTCTGTTTGCTCAGAAAGTATACATGCCCTTTAAACACAGCCAGTTTCTTCATTTTCAGTGAAACTGCAGACTTTCAAGTCTTTTATGAAATCTCAGTTATCTGCAAATAGAAGTGTTCCAAACAGCAGATAAGTTCTCACATGTTAGCACATCAGACTCACATGGAGGCCTTGCGGAGGCTCAGCTTGCCAGGGGCAAGACTGCGTTTCCTGCAGATTCCTGGGTGAAGCTGCTGCTCTTTGAGGGGTCACACTTGGAGAGCCACTGCGGTCTATTAATACAAGTAGAGGCTGTGTATGGTGCTGTTAGATACACGTGTACTGAAACTGCTCTACTTTATAGTGCATTCTTCATTATATTTTGGTCATATTCATAGCAAAATAAACTCATTTTCTCCCTGCTCATCTCAGAGACAATCTAGACATTTTGAATTGTAGAGGGAGATGTAATTTTAACAGTTTGTATCACATTGGTTTAATTATGCTTTTAGATGTTTTGTAACTTTCTGTTGGATGGAGCAAATGCTTAAGGTAGTGTTACGCATATATGGCAGTCTAGTGCAAGATCAAGAAGATTCTTAACCTGGACTGCAGCGTTTCTTTGGAAAAATAATATTGCTACCCTTCATTAGACAGGCACAGTATGAAGGCAGATCTTTGCAGTATGTGCCAGGCATAGCGATAAGTCCTTTCTATGCAATGTCTCAGGGCTTCCCGGGTCGCTAAGTGGTAAAGAACTCACCTGCCAATGCAGGAGACGTGGGTTCAGTCCCTAGGTTGGGAAGATCCCCTAGAGAAGGAAATGGCCAACCCATTCTAGTATTCTTGCCTGAGAAATCCCATGGACAGAGAAGAGCCTGGCGGGTTACAGTCTTTGGGATCACAAAAGACAACAGCAGCAATGCAGTATCTCATTTAATCTATACAAACTCAGAGAAAATGTAATTGTCTTCTTACAAAGTGAGTATTAGAGTCTGTTCTAATTTACGAACCCAGGGGTTAAACCTAGGTCTCTCTGATCTACTGGCTCATGTAGATAGTCATGACCCTGTCCAGTATCCTCTGTAGAGAGTGTTCTTTTGTGAGCAAAAGCATTTTTGTACAGACGTCATCATTGTCTCTGGGAACTTCAATTCTGAGACAGAAAACAGCACAGAAGTACTGCTGTTCTCTCCTGTCATGATCCTGTGAGCCCGTGATCACAGAGCAGTTCTTATGGCTGTTACTTTCTGATAAGCGCATTACTTACTCGTTCCCAGTTTACCTGGCGGTTCCCTTTGTGCCATTAACATACAGGGCACATGCGCTGAAGAAAGAGCTGGTTGATGCTTGGAGAGTGGGTAAAGTTAACTAGCGCCTGCATGATTAGCTTCATTAATTAACTTGGCTTCACTCCAGGAGTTCTTCACATATCTCAGTGAGTCTGTGAATCATAACATTATATTCAGTATTTTGTCTAAGTAAGTGTTAGTTGCTCAATTGTGCCTGACTCCTTGCAACCCCATGGACTGCAGCTCACGAGGCTCCTGTGTCCATGAGATTTTCCAGGCGTGGATACTGGAGTGGGTTGCCATTTCCTTCTCCAGTGTATGTTCCCAACCCAGGGGTTGAACCCAGGTCTCCTGCACTGCAGGCATATTCTTTACCGACTGAGCTAAAGTCATATGGTTTTCTGGTGCTTACTTGGCTTCCAACTTGGTAGAGAACATGTTTGATTTTCTTGTAGCTTAGGGCTCCAAACACCAAAAGGAAGCTTGTATCGGTGCTGACTCTAGTGAGCAACCCTGAAAGGCATCTTTCTCCTAGGAAATGCAAGAGAAGCTGCAGAATTTTGCCCAGCTCCCAGCTCACCGAGTCACTGACTCCTGCATAGTGGCGCTCCTCTCCCACGGCGTGGAGGGTGGCATCTACGGCGTGGACGGCAAACTGCTCCAGGTGCGTGCTGGTCTGTGACCGAGGCTGCTGAGGCTGGGCCGCCCCACCTCCCGCTGCCTGTGTCTCCAGGGATGGCCTCTATTATGTGTATAGGACTCAGGGCTCCCACTGACCACCAACCCCCCCTTCTCCCTTATTTCTCTCCGGCAGCTACAAGAGGTTTTTCGGCTCTTTGACAATGCCAACTGCCCAAGCCTACAGAACAAACCGAAAATGTTCTTCATCCAGGCCTGCCGTGGAGGTGAGTGCCCCGGCGGACTGGCACCTGGGTGTGGCTCCCGGGCAGCCTCCCACCAGCTCTCACTTTCCTGTTTGCTCCTCTCAGGTGCTAGCGGATCCCTTGGGCACCTCCTTCTGTTCACTGCTGCCACCGCCTCTCTTGCTCTGTAAGTGTCTCCCGACGCATGGGGTGTGCTGGGACCCGGGCCGCCCCTGGCTCTCAGGTGGTCAGCTCTCTGCGCGCCGCCATGTCCGCCCCCAGGACGCTCTCGGCCAGTATCTTCGCTTTGTTTGCTGAGAACGCTTCCTTTTCTCCTGTGCTTATTAACCCCGGTGCGCTTTCCTCATCCCTCTTTCCAGTTCAGGGTCTGCCAGCTGCCTCTGCTTCCTCACGCTCTCACTTGATCCTCTACCTCTTTTCCTTCTCCCCCTCTCCTCCCCTTTCCGCTTTCTCCTCCTCCTCTCCCCCACTCCCCATTCTCACCTCCTCTCCTCTCCGGGTCCCTCCTGTGTCCCGCAGGAGAGCAGCGTGGAGACCCCACGTCAGCCTTCGGCTCCTACTCTTCCACAAGCTCCTCCCAGCCCTCTTGCACGCACTCTCTTTTCACCCCTTGAAAAGCCAGGACTCCCTGATTACACTCAGAAGACATGCAGATGTGCTTCTTATCTCAGAGGAAAAGAGTCATGATTGAAAGCTGTAAACGTGGAGTCAGATTCTGGCTCTGCTACTGACTAGTCATGTGAAGTTATAGAGAAGTTACTCCATGTCCTTTCACCTTAGTTTCCTCAGTATAAAATGTAGGTAATCACACATCCTGAGGTCGTGTTGTTGTGATGGTTAAGTGAAGTAGTTCATATGAAAGTGGTTCTTCTTAGTAGCTGACTCATGGTAAATCCACAGAATACCAGCTCTGACTGTTATAACATGGTTTGTGCCCTTAAGGGACTCACAGTTTGATTTAAAGGTCCCTTTGTCCAAGGATTCAAATAACATATTTTTTACGTGGGTATAGCAGAGAATCCTGGAGGAGGAAATAGCAGCTCACTCCAGTATTCTTGCCTGGAGAATCCCATGGACAGAGGAGCCTGGTGGGCTACAGTCCACGGGGTCCCGAAGAGGCAGACACGACTGAGCGACTAACACATAGCAGAGAGTGGGGCTTGCCTGGTGGCTCAGTAGTAAAGAATCCACCTGCAGTGCAGGAGCCACAGGAGACAGGAGTTCGATCCCTGGGTCGGGAAGATGCCCTGGAGAAGGGCATGGCAACCCAGTCCAGTACTCTTGCCTGGAAAACCCCATGGACAGAGGGGCCTGGTGGGTGCAGACCACAGGATCGCAAAGAGTCGGCCACGACTGAAGTGACTTAGCACCTGTGCACAGCAGAGAACAGCAGTGGAATAGCAGATAGAGCCTTTCCGGGAGTGAGGAGGAGTGCAGTGTGACTAGCACACCAAGACTGAAAGGACACCCCCTTCCCCTGTCCCAAAGCGGGCTGAGCCAGAAGTATGCCTGGTTCTCCATCTGCGTCAGTCACGTGTAGTGAGACGTGGCTGACCACGTGAGACGGATCCTACTGATCATAAACCTGCAGTCACAGCTGAGATTTTGGGCTTTGACAGATAATAGTACAGAGGTACTGGGAGTGCAAGTAAGAAAAATTGGATTTTTTTTTTTTTTTTTTTTTTTCAGGATGATTACAGGGAGCAGTGCTGAGAAGAAAGAGTATGTGTGAGCAGGAACTTCCTTTTTTTAGGTCCCTGCTATATCCCCAGGCCCAGGGCACTGCCTGACACATAGTAGCACATCATAAATATTGGCTGAGTAGATGGAAATTCAGTTCAGTTCAGTCGCTCAGTCGTGTCTGACTCTTTGTGACCCCATGGACTGCAGCACGACAGGCCTCCCTGTCCATCACTAACTCCTGGAGTTTACTCAAACTCAAGCCCATCAAGTTGGTGATGCCATCCAACTATCTCATCCTCTGTCGTCCCCTTCTCCTCCTGCCCTCAATCTTTCCCAGCATCAGCGTCTTTTGAAATAAGTCAGTTCTTCACATCAGGTGGCCAAAGTATTGGAGTGTGATCTTCAACATCAGTCCTTCCAATGAACACTCAGGACTGATCTCCTTTAGGATGGACTGGTTGGATCTCCTTGCAGTCCAAGGGACTCTCAAGAATCTTCTCCAACACCACAGTTCGAAAGCATCAATTTTTCAGTGCTCAGCTTTCTTTATAGTCCAACTCTTACATCCATACATGATCACTGGAAAAACCATAGCCTTGACTAGACGAATCTTTGTTGGCAAAATAATGTCTGTGCTTTTTAAAATGCTGTCTAGGATGGAAATTAGCCTGCCTAAAAAGTGGAGCAATAATACAGAAAATAGATACAGGGATATTGTGAGAAAAGAGCCATTCTTTGATCAGTAGTTCTGAGACAAAGGTAGGAGAGGAATCTCCTTTCTCTTGAGGGACACATGCAGCTTGGCCTGTTTCCTGTAGGAGGCATCACTGGCAAAGTGAAGTAAACATGTTCATGATCATTTTCTCCTGTGTTCAGAGATTATATACAAATAATCGACCTGGGTAGGGAGAGATAGCGCCCTCCTGGGCTAAGCTGAATCTTTTCTCTAAAATCAAATCCTCCAAGGGATGACCAGTAGGCCAGCTGTTCTTTAAAAGTCTGAGCTCACCTGTCTTCTGCTATACTTAGTTAACATAACTAGTGCCTCTAAAAAGGACCCTGCCCTGGTTGACTGGCTCCTAAACTGGAGTGTGAGCTCCATGAGGATGGGGACTTGCTCTTCACTGTATCCCTCGGGCATAGAAACAACGCCTGGCAAGTGGCAGTTGCGCAGTAAATTTTTGTCGGATCAGTGAATCTTGGTCATTTTCTGCACAGACCTTCAAGGTTCGCTCCTCTTTAAGGCTTTCTTGGGTGTTACGTGGAGCAGGAGATGTAAAGAAGAAAAAGCTTATATACTCTATTACCTTTGACCTGACAAGCTGTATGTCCTTCTGTCTTTTTCCTACCACTCCCAAACAACAGTGTCAGAGAAAGAACATGTCTGGGGGTGGATAAGGCCTGGGTCAGAAGGTCGGGCATGTGCTTAGGGTATGTTGAGGATCTACTGCTGATAATTGAATGATAGTGTTCTTTTTACATTGTTTTAGAGAAAACAGTCGATTATCCCAGTTTTAACTTTCTCTTAAATTTTGCATGCCAGCTACAATTTGACTTATGAAATTAATAAATAGTAAGTGACTTAAAAAGATCAAAAACATCCTGGAAACAACTAATCATACTTAGTTTTATAATTTGTTTATCAAAAATATAGAAATTATGGTTGTGGTTTTCATACAGCATACTTGTAGTAAGTATATTTTTGGTTTATTAACTTGTTTTTCTGTTTTATATAGTAAAACTGTATCAGTATTTTATCATGTATTGCAATAAGCAGTACTTTGACTTCCAGGTACACTGATAATTGGACAAGTGAATCGTGGACGCCGATGGCTTTTTGTTGTGTTTACAAGGGGTATTTGATTGAGCACTTTCCCTGTCTTACACAGAGTGGACAGAGCTCAGACCACAGATGCGTGCATGTGCGTGGGCACCCTCTGCGTGATCGGTGCACGGTGGCAGAGGAGCGGGAGTAATGGTGTTTGTTTTTCTTTTTTCTTTTTAATTCATCAGCCATAGGTTGGAGACAACAGCTGGAAATGGCTCTTCCCCCATCCCGCTTGCAGGGAACTTGGGCTTGCCTGTGACAGGCCCAAGAGAGGTGGGAGGAAATAACATCTCTCTCTGTCCATTCTTGTCTGCCTTTGTACAGATGAGACAGATCGGGGGGTCGACCAGCAAGACGGGAAGAACCACAACCGATCCCCTGATTGCGAGGAGAGCGATGCCAGCGGAGAGGAGCTGCTGAAGGCACGGCTGCCCACCCGCTCAGACATGATCTGTGGCTACGCCTGCCTCAGAGGTACTGTGTGTCCCGAGGAGTGGTCCCGAAGGCGGCAGGCTCTGTCACGCAGGGCTCTGACCAGGGAGGATGCAGGGGAGGTCCATCCGCTGGGGAGGGTGCCCGTGGCCTTCAGTCGGCGCCCACTGCTCTGGTTGCAGGGACCGCTGCCATGCGCAACACCAAGCGGGGCTCCTGGTACGTGGAGGCCCTCACGCAGGTGTTCTCCGAGAGGGCCTGCGACATGCACGTGGCCGACATGCTGGTGAAGGTGAGTGTTCCACCCTGCTTCTCCCTCGCGCTGGTCTTCACAGTCTTCCTCACCCTTCCTCTTGTGCTGGGATCCTGAAAACACCCGATTCTCAGACCCTGGCCACTGGGTTTCTGCCTTGGCAGGTGAACGCGCTCATCAAGGAGCGAGAAGGCTACGCCCCGGGCACGGAGTTCCACCGCTGCAAGGAGATGTCCGAGTACTGTAGCACCCTGTGCCGCCACCTCTATCTCTTCCCTGGCCACCCCCCCACGTGATGGCAACCCCCGGCCCCCCGCATCCCACCCCGTCACCGGGCCACGTGGAGGCCGCTGGGCCTCAGGAGGCGAGGTAGAGCCTTTCTCTCCAGGATGCGCGGCTTCAGTGCCTCCCCTCAGGGATCGGGACTCCCTCAGGCTCCTTTCTCAGGCCCACCGTCTCCACCAGTGACCTCGGACCGCCAGCTCCTCCCACGTGCAGCTCTCCCGTAGAGCCGGCTCTGGCTGGACTCGTTGCCAAGAACAAGGGACCTGGCAAGCGACACTGCACGCACTATCTTGACGGGGAGAGGGCGTGTGGCTTTCCTCGATGTTTGTGTTCAGCTCCTGCCCCCAGCGCTCTTGGAGGAAGCACTCTGGTAATCGCTTTTGTTCCAGGAGCTGAGATGTCCCAGAGGTCACACCTCCCACCTCTTCTTTCATGTCCCAGCCCCATTTGTCCCAAAGTGGGAGTTTGAAAAGTGTTCCAGTTCAACACAGACAGTTTTCATTTGGTTTTAAAAGGCCAAGCACCCTCTGCTACTGTGGGTGGGCCCAGACCTGTGTGTTTGTCCCCTTCGGTTCCAGAAGGTCTCCCCAGGGAAGGACCGTCTTCTGAGCTCCACTCTTGGCTCCTTGGGGCTCGGGAATTCAGCCTTTCAGTGGAGGTCAGAATTTGGCTGCCTTTTGTCTGTTACCTTGTTGATCTTTGCCCATGGAAGCTTCCAAGACTTTCCACGGGTGGTGGGTGCTCTGAGCTTTGTACCTGAAGTGAGCCTTGCGGGGAGTGTCAGCGGAGGAGATAAGGGTGCTGTGCTTGCTCAGGCTTGGCAGTCTGCCACTTTATCCTCGTTTTTCTTCCTGTGAAGTGCCCCTCCTAAAAACGCTTCCTGGCTGTTATCTCTCAGCTTCCTGTTTCTCCCCTCTTTACCTTTGTCTCATTCTGTTTACTGCAGCCACCAAATCGTCTAAAATACAGCTTAATTGGATCATTTGGCTGCTCGAGGACGTAATATAGTACTTTGTTCCGGCTTTCCGCTTCCGTATTAAATCCCCTCTGGATTTTATGTGTTCTGTTTCCCCTTCCCGTTGTGACTGTCCATTTCAGGGAGGTCAGTGCTCTATATGTTATTTATTTACCCTAGAAGCCACCTTTATATGCACTTACATGAAGCCTTCTTTTCTTAAAGGCCTTCTTTTTTGCCATATGACAATCTAATCTCTGTATGACAGATTTTGATTTTGGTTTTTAAGTATAAATCTGATCCTCTTACTTCCCTGCTTGGAACCCTTTGGTTTCCTGTCACACCTCAAATCAAATCAGACTCCTTCCCTTGGCCTGCAAGGGCCTCATAAGTGCTGATTTCCCTGTAAGCGACAGCTCAGTGGTCTCCTGTGTTTCTCAAACATTCTGAGGTCCTTCCTGGGCTGGACCATCAGGCTTCCTGGGTCTGCTGAGCCCCACCCCTCGCCACTCTTGGCCCTGGTGGCTTCTTGATCCTTCAAGTCAGAGCTCAAATGCCAACCTTCCGTGGAGGGCTTCCCAAGCCATTCTGTCTCTTAAAAATTGAGTGTTGTTTTTAACTTTATTTCTGTTCTGTTTAATCCTCTCATTGCACTTAACACACTGTATAATCACTCATCATATGCGTGCATGCTTCACATGTTCATTCGCATCTCCCTTTAAACTCCATGAGGGCGGAAACCTTGTCTCTCTCGTTCACTAATATGCACCCAGTGCCTGGCACATCATAGGTCTCCAGTGTTTGCTGAAGAAAGGAAGCAACCCTAGCTGGAATCCTACTCTTTGACGAAATTTCCCTTTTGGCAAAATACCCATATCCTCCCATGTGTTGGTTTCATCCACTGGTATTGGTAGCTCCCAGGGACGGAAGTCGCAGGCAGGGCGACTTTGTCTGCGTCTCCCGCGGCACTGGGCGCAGTGCCCAGCCTCTGGTAGTTCAGGTGCTCAGTCAACACTTGCTCTGTGAGCCGGGGGCTCGGAGACTTGTTGCCAAGTCCTGCCCTTGGCTCGGCATCATCTGGAAGTACTTAGGTGATAGAACCTTTCCAGTTCCCACTGCCAGGATTTTGTATTGCCATCTGGTGCCAAATAAATGCTCATATTTATTACCGGTGTGTGCCTGATGTCTAGGTAAATCCATGCTGGGAAGCCCACTTATTTCCTCGGCTCCTTACAGCGTTCCCCGCCGCCTCACAGGGCACACCCAGAGCGGGAAACGTCTTGTTTGGCTGCAGGGCCTTTAATACCGCCAGGTCCACACTGCGGCTGGCCCACCGCCATCGCGGCCACAGGCAGCTGCCCCAGACACAGCTCCCGGCGCTGGGGCTCCTCGTGGTCCCAAGAGGTGGGAGAGTCAAGGAGCGTTGGTCCTGGATCATTTAGATGACGAGATGGAGGCTGGAGGAACAGATTGAGTTGGAATAGGAAGACGCCAAGGATCGTAGAATTCCCTGTCTCGCGTGGTCCAGTTTGGGTTTAAGGTTTGCCAGACTGGGTGTAGATGGTAAGAGACTTCTCGGGGAGTGGACTCTGTAACCTGGGGAATTCTCAGGTGCAATATGTCTACACCTGGAGAGGCAGGTGCACCTGTGCAGGTGAGCTGCAGAGGGTTAGAGACGGCAAGGGAAGCTGACAGGACCCTGGGGGAGGGGAGCTTGTCTGTGAACCTGGAGGAGGAAGAGCGAAGAGGCATGAAGTTGAGCTGAAGCATCACCGGGCGGAAGGGGAGGAACTGGCTGAAGAACACTGGGGGCCAAGGCCGTAGGAGCAGGCTGGCCCCGGGTGCCTCTGGAGGGAGGCCCCGGAGCAGTGAGTGGGAGGACAGCCTGTGGGAGGTGGGTGTGCTCAGGGCTCAGAGCAGCATCTGCTGAGCTGGACTCCCTGTCCTCCCTGCCCCGCCCTTGAGTAAGGGCGTCAGGTTGAATTTCACAGCTCCGGGTCCTCTGCCAGGGGATTCTCTTCTAAAATTATCCCCCTCCTGGAGCTGGGGGTGGTTCTTCGCTGCCCTCCCCCATCCCATCTCCGGTGATAGGGAAGAGATGGAGCAAGTGGGGTATTCCGGCAGAAGGGGAAAGTGGTCTGAGGCGAAGATGTTAATAACAGCTCCAGTTGCCTGAGTGCTCAGCGCGCCTCCCAGGCCCTGTGCTTGCAGCTTTACACCATCCTCCCACAAGCCAGGAGGGCGTCATCGCCCCGCTTCTTCAGAAGAGGAAAATTAGGCTCAGAAACTTCAATTTATACAGGAAAAGATGTAGCTTTAAGGACACAGACTCCAGAATTAACTAGACTTTGAATACAGGCTTGTCCTTTTAAGGTATCAGAGACCTTGGCTAAGGTACCTAACCTCGCCCTTCTTTAAACACGGGTAAATCGTTGCTGCCTTAAAAGAAGGAAGGATGCTACCCTGTGAGGATGAAGCAGGAGGATGTGTGCTGGATCACTCAGGGTTAACGCATTACAGATGCTGTTAGCCATCTCTGAGCATGAACTTCAGTTTAACGACACAAGTTAATGTTCGGCGCTCACTTTGGGGCAGACACTGACTTTTAACGTCCATTCTTTTCTCTCCATAACCCTCAAGTTAACCGACTTTCTAAGGAAACAGAGGCCAGGATGGGTAACAATCTGTCAGCTTGAATTCAACAATTGTGCTTCTGTGACTTTTTTTCTTAGCAAAAGGCTTTTTTTTTTCCCTCCCTCCTTACTTTTTGGGGCTATAGGTTTTCCCCACTGAGTTGTGAGAAGGCGCCTGAGACCAAAAGAAAGACTATTCCATCTTAGCCCTTGTTGGGCAGAGAACAGAGGAAAAAGTGTACCATGTTCAAAAATCCAGAAGAGGGAGAAAGAGCCCTGTCCAATGTTAGGAAGGCATCATATGCAGGGGAGGGAAGGGACCAGGCCTTTTTGAAAGATCTGGAAGGCAAGGTTCAGTAAGCATAGAGGAGAAATGACTGCGAGTGACGACAACTACAAAGAGGTGTGTTCAAGTTACAGTTGCCTGGGGGAAATTTCAGAAAGTTGGTGGTCATGGGTCCCATGCTAGGCTTGATGTGGAGCAGGCAAGGCATGACTTAAAGCCCCTTAAGAATAATATCACAGTGTATTGTTCAACAGTTGGAGAGCCCAGACTTCAAGAGGTGGGAATCTGAAAACAAGAGTGTCACCCAGGGAGAAAGTTCCTGCTTAAATTGATACTGGGATCCCAAGGAGCGGGATCGCTCATGACCTTCTATACCCCAACACACTCCCACACACCTGTGTCCCGGACAGTTGTTTCAGCAACTTTCCTTCAAATAGCAATTCCATAAGCCTATAGGTTTATAGGTTTTAACCTTGGACCTCAAGAAAATCTATTAAAACCCCCAAAGAATACATATCTTACTCAGCATACATATCATAGGTAAATGCATTGTTGTGAATTTGTTTCCAAATTTAGGAGCTTTTCAAAGGACTCCCCAGAAACCCATCACTGGCCTTCCAGATAAAATCACTGAACCCATGGGGTGTTGGGGTGGGATGAGCACAGTTTATATTTTATTTTCTTGTTCTCTTGTAGGATGATAACCCAGATTTTAATCTTTGAGCTAAGACTCAAGATCCTTACTCTCAAATCCTTACCCTTCAGAGCTAGCAGCTGGAGAGCTCCTTGACCCTCCTGATTTCAGAGTCTGGTTTTAGAATTGCAGCTGGTGCTTCCAGGTGGCTTGGTGGCCTGGGAGGGTTTTCTTAATGGCCATGATCTTGCCTTCAAATTTTGGGATCCACAACCAGGACCTGATTTTCTCAGGAACACTGGAGAAATAACAATTGTGTTAGATACTTGTTTCTTAGGATTATCAAGTTCCTGCAGAAACTGACTACTTTCAGGGGAGCCATCTCCACAAAGGGGTGGAAATCTTTTCTGTTTCTGAGACCCCCCCCCCCCCCGCTCCCCATAAGAAAGTAATTTCACTTTGGCAATCTATTTTCTTTTTTCTTGGCAATCTATTTTCCTAATTAAAGTTTTTCTTTGGGGACTGTCCTAATGGTCCAGTGATTGAGAACCACCTTGCAATGCTGGGGGAGTGGGTTCGATCCCTGGTCGGGGAACTAAGATTCTACATGCCACAGGGCCGTCAAGCCCATTCACCACAACTAGAGAAGCTGTGTGCCACAACAGAAGATCCTGCATGTCGCAATGAAGATCCCACATGCTGCAACCAACACTCAACAATGCCAAATAGATAGACAAATATTAAAAAAAAAAAAGCTTAAAAGAAAGTGTTTCTTTCATCTCACACCAACCCATTAGATCTCTATTTTCTGCCTGGGGAGAAGGGAGATGTTACAGAACATCCAGGGCCTCAGATCACACATTTGTCGTCTTTGTGGGTAGATTACAGATCTTCAGATTTATGTTAGAAAAGGTGCTCTTAATGGTATTTATCTTCCCACCTGCTTGGGACAGTCCCATTTAGCCTGGGGCAAATTTCAGTTGTAGACCAGATGTTCGGTGTCCCTACCCTGCAGTCCCTGGGACAGAACTCGCTTGGTGGTGGATCCCAAACCACGCACTGGCTCATGTTTATAGCTTTCCTTCACTAGTGAATAGTTCACAAGGGAAGGACTGTACTAGGAAAATTGGTCTTAAAAAAAACAAAGCATAATGCCAGATAGAGTAGTTTGGCCTTGGCAAAAATTACTTATTGACCCGAAAAGGGAAGAATAGCAGGGTACTTCCCTGTCATCTCTTATGTCTGTCGGGCTCATCATGAGAAACGCCCACTCCCGTCTCTCCTTGGGCTCCCTGTTCCCTTGCCCCACTTCCCCTTCTCCCCATTATCTCACCTGTCCTGACAGTTCTCCCAGGGATGCTCCGAGCTCTAAATGGAAGCTCAGTCCCTCCCTGAACATCCCACTGGTGTGGCTGTCATGTATCAGCCCGGAAAGTAGGAGAAATGCCAGAACCCAAGGCTATTACCCCTGTGCCCCACACCCAATGGTGATAAAGGTGGGGTCAAGGGTATGACCTCGAAGCATCACTAGTGGCCTCTGGCAGACAAAAAAGGCAGAGCTGGAGGAGAAAGCTGAACATCGGTTGGGTTGGGAGAGCTGGTCCGACAGATGAGGACTAAACCTGGGGGGGACCCAGAGCTGGGGACAAGCCCGCAGGGGAGGACGGCAGAGAGGCGCCGCTTACTCGCCCAGGTGAGCCACTCCCCAGTGTTTCCAGAACCTAGAATCACTCCACCCAGCTCCCAACCGCTGCCTCCCCACGGGAGGATGGACTGATGGAAGAAAAGTGGTGGGCTGCTTAGAGGGTGCAGGCTCGGGGAGCACACAGGTCCGAAAGTGCGCAGAGCAGTCTTCCACCCTGATCTGGACGGTATTTATAGCCAGACCAGTGGCCTGGGACTGGAATCCTCTTCGTGACTCAGGAGGGGGACGGTGCCTGTCCTGCTGGGGGAGTTCCCCGTGGGGCTGCCCCCCAGGTTCTTGTCCCCACTCCTCCCCCGCACAGCTCTCACACCTGCTTCGACCCCAAGCAGATCAGATGTGGCAGTGGGGGGGGTCATGTGACGGAGAGATGGCTATAAATAGCTGGGGGTGGGCACGCTGCCCCAGACGCCTTGGGGACAGGCAGGAGGACAGGCTTAAGGAGCTGTTCTAGGGGGAGGGTGGGGGCCGGCAGGCCGAGACCTGGCCGGGGGCGGGAGCATGGAGCCATCGGGGTCCCAGCGGCGTGGGGGTGAGCCCAGCTGGTGGGGCAGCGCCCCCCAATACCAGTACATGCCCTTTGAGCACTTCACCAGCTACGGACTGCCCTCCGAGAACGGGGGTCTGCAGCACAGGCTCCGGAGGGACGCGGGCCCCCGTGCCAACGCCCACCCCACACAGGTAAACTTGTCAGAGGAGGGGGCGGTGGATTCCAGGAGCCAGAGCAGCCACGGATGGGGGGAAATGAAGAGGCAGGTGGCAAGAGGGGGCAGTGTGATCTTTCTAAGTTAAGAAAGTACATGGTCGTGTGTTCCAAATATGAACATTCTTTAAAGGTCTGGGTTCAGCCCAGTGGGCACCTTCTATAGAGATACACGTGTACCTGAACACAAGCTTTACTAACAGAACCCCCCGAATCTGGGGGGAGAAGGCAGAGCCACACATGGGTGCTGAGCCCATGCTTACATAACCCACACGAGGGGACTGGCGGAGAAGCCCACACCTCTGCGTGCCCAAGCCGTCCTCACACGCTCACCCTGCACACAGACACCACCAGATTCTCCCTTCCCACCCTCGGCAGAACACACACACATCCTCACTTCTGCAGAAGGCAGAAAGGTGGGGAGAAGGGGAGAAAATGGACTGAAGAGCACAGTCAGTGATCCAAGACAGACCAGTGTCAAATGAGCAGAAGAAATGTAATCAGACTTGCAGGTGGGAGGGCTCATCAAGTGAGGGCCCATGAGGTGGTGGCATCTGGAGGGAAACAGAGCTCTGACCTCAGTGAGGGGGGTGCCTGGCGAGCTGACTCGGGGTTTGTTGCTGTTCAGTCACTCAGTTGTGTCTGACTCTGGGCGACCCCATGGACGGCAGCACACCAGGCTTCCTGGTCCTTCGCTGCCTCCTGGAGTTTGCTCAGACTCGTGTTCATTGAGTCGATGATGCCATCCAACCATCTCATCCTCTGTTGCCCTCTTCTCCCGCTGCCTTCAGTCTTTCCCAGCATCGTGATCTTTTCCAATGAGTCCAGGGTAAATATCCTCCAGGAGTTCCAGACATCAAGGGAAGGGCAATGATGGTGGGGGCATCCCTGAAGGACAGATTGGAAGCTTGTCTCAGATAAATACCTGGGTTAAGATCAGCAAGTGACCGTGCCTGTGGAGGGACAGAATGGAACCTGTCGGTGGGGGACCAGGAAATCAGGATTTAAAAATGTTTTGGCCGATGAAGGGTTGACTGTGTTTTCTTTAGCGTGGGGGTCTAGGCAGGGCAGAGAAGCCGAGGGCTGGGCTGGGGATCTCTGTGCTGCGGGTCCAGAGAATCCAGGTCTCAATCCTGACCTGTTCTGAGGATGGTGGGTGGCGGCAGTTCCTGGAGAATCAGTTGGAGGATCGAGGGCACAAAAGCCAGGGGAGGCTCCGGTGGTGAGTCAGAGCAGGCTTCCTGGAGAAGGTAGCCTGGAACACTGTGTGGGGTTGGACAGGGAGACCCCTCCTCGTGGCCCGGGGCTCTCTGTCGTGGGGTACGTGGTCTGAGTGGGATGTCAACTTAGTAAAAGGTGCAGTTACGGCGCCTTCTGGTGATGGCGAGCAAAGCCAGCACACTAGCATGAAGCTGAAGGCACTCAGGAAGTCAGGTTGGGCAGGTGCGAAGAACGGGAGCTTGGACTTCCGCTTTTCTCTGCTTAAATCTTATTATGGAAATTTCATGCTTATACAAAAATAGGAAGAGTGGTGTAATGAATCCCCAAGTACCCCTTGCCCAATGATTAATTATAAATTGTCAGGATCTTTGCATCCATCCTCCCATCCCTGGCCCTATACTCACAAATCCAGACAATACGCCCCTTTCAGGCTTGACTTCTCTTTCCCCTCCCAGCCCTGCTCAGACGGTGAGCCCTAGTCCAGCCAGCACAGATTTGGCTCTTTTATTTTTATTTTATAAATTTACCTATTTACTTGACTTCATTGGGTCTTACCTGTGGCACACGGGATCTTTCGTTGTGGCACACAGACTCTCTAGTTGTGGCTTGGGCTCCGGAGCGCCTGCAGGCTCAGTAGTTGTTGTTAGTGTGTTCCTTGGTTCCCTGAGCAGGGATTGAACCCGAGTCCCCTACATTGCAAGGTGGCTTCTTCACCACTGGACCACCAGGGAACTCCCCAGATCGGGCTCTTTTAGTGTTTCCCAGACCAGGTTTGGTATGTAGCACCCATGTCTCCTCTCCTCTGGCCTTGGACCTAAGGTGGGTTGAGGTAGCCCATGCACTGGCCCCCGTGGGGTGTGTCTTCTCTTGGGTCTGGGGAGGATATGGAGGAAAACACGGCTCCCTTCGGTCACTAACCTCATACCAGAGCAGGGTATTAGTGCCTCCTGCTCAGGATTCAGGCATAAACTTGACTGCTCGTATTGTGAAATCAGATCTCTTCCACTCAGGCTCTCCGAGAACCAGCAATGTGCCCTGGCCTGACCCTGGCCCCAGAGGACAGTTAGTGTAGTGGAGGTGGGGCAGGCTAAAAGGAGTTAGTATATCTTGCACACATACAACGCCCAAACACACATGCTCTACTTCGGGAAGGAGTGGACTGACCTGCCTTTTTGGGGCTGGGTCCAGCTTGTGCCTACAGGCACAGGGTGGGGACGTGGATGGGCCTTCTCTAAGCCTGCAGGGCGTCCGAGGAGCCTCATTAGAGCTAGACACACCAAGGCCAGGAGCCACCAGGAGTCACCTGCTAGCCTGTCCTCACCCCGTCCATCTCGGTGTGACGGGGGTTCCGGGAAAACGACAAGGAGGCCAAGAAGCAGAAAGCAGTGACGCACAAAACATGTCATTGATGCAGATGCCCAGTTCTTAGCACAGTTCTCGTATCCCTGCTTCAGAGTAGAAATTGGTTCCCTTGATGAAGGCTGCTGTTGAGAGAGATGAGTACAGATGGGTAGGGGTGTGGATGGATGGACAAGAGTGAGGAGTGGGAACTGTGTAGACGGACAGTGGGGAGTGGAGGGCGCTGATGACCCAAGTGGCCCTGCATGAGGCCATCAACACCCAGGATTTTTAAAGACCTATTCATTTCTGATTGGAGGATCACTGCTTTACAATGTTGTGCTGGCTTCTACCGTACATCAACATGAATCAGCCATAGGTAGACATATGTCCCCTCTGTCTTGAACCTCCTTCCACCTCCCACCCCATCCCACCCCTCTAGGTTGTCACAGAGCACCAAACACCCAGGATTTTAAAAAGCTGTTTGTGCGATTTATCTGTGGGTCTATATGAAGTGAAGTGAAGTCCCTCAGTCATGTCCAACTCTTTGCAACCCCATGGCCTGTAGCCTACCAGGCTCCTCCATCCATGAGATTTTCCAGGCAAGAGTACTGGAGTGGGGTGCCACTGCCTTCTATATACTTCCTTCTATTTCTTTTGACTCTTCAGTGAGAAAGACCTTTCCCATCTCCCTCTATCCAGATCTATGGCCATCACAAAGGGCAGTTATCAGGCAAGGAACAGGACACCGAGATCCCCAAGACGATGGGCTCCAGTGCTTCCATGGACAGCAAGGACGAGGATCACTATTCTAAATGTCAAGGTGACGGGGACAGGGGAATGGAGGTATCTGGAGAGGAAAGAGGTACCGGGATTAGCGCAGTAACTCTGAAGACTCGTTGCATATTTCTGACTCAAGATCCTCAATGTTCCCATCTGCACACCAAAGCCCTCCTCCAAGGAAAAGGCACAGCTCCCATGTCCTTCTCACCCTACCTTCCCACCGTCCCTCCCACACAGCCCCAAGAAACCAGAGTTTAGAAGGGAATCAAGTAGCCAGAGGGGAATTGGACTCTGGTGCCTTCTGACGGGCAGAGAGGTGAGGAGGAACTCAGGGAATGAGACATACAGACCAGACCGCTAGGGGCCCTGCACTCGCAGCCCTAAGCCGCACACCCAGAGCAGTGACTGGTTACCTTCCCCTCTGTCCCTTCCTTTCCTAGATTGTATGCACCGCCTGGGACTCGTGGTGAGAAGGAAGTTAGGGGAAGACTGGATCTTTCTGGTGCTTCTGGGGCTCCTGATGGCTCTGGTTAGCTGGTGCATGGATTATGTCAGTGCCAAAACGCTTCAGGGTAGGTGTAACATGGCCCTTTGCCGCCGCCCCCCCCACCCCACCAGCCTTCCCCATACTGTGGTTGTTCTAGAGTTCCCACCTAGGGTAAGCTGGGGGAGCGTCAGGATGGTGCTCAGAGAAGAACGGGTGTGACTCTAGTGCAGGGACACCAGACCCAGACCCATTTCCCTGTCCCTCTCTATCAGCTGGGCTGTGGGCGCCACTCTCGTAGGGTGACCAGCTTGTGCTAGCTTTCCGAGGGCTTTGCAGTTCAGGCAACTGGAAACATGCGGGGTGCCAGGAGCCCCTCCTGCGAGGGTAACAGGCGGCTGGGTGCCCACGGCCTCTAAGGAAGCGCCCACACTGTGGTTTGCTGCACTGCCGTCCCCTCGACCTCCCGCAGGTGGTGGGAACTAGAATGGGTCACGTCACCTCCCCCAGCTCAGATCCCTCCACGAATCAAATGAGAATAGCGCCAGTTCTGAGGTTGAACGGGGGCAGTGGCCACTTGAGCACGCTCTTAGCCCGGCTCTCCGCACTGCCGGCGTTGGGGCAGCGCTGACACGTGGTCCATCCTTGTAAGACTGAGCCGGGACTCCTGTCTCCGCAGCCTACAAGTGGTCCTACTACCAGATGCAGCCCAGCCTGCCTCTGCAGTTCCTGGTCTGGGTCGGCTTCCCCCTAATCCTCATCCTCTTCAGCGCCCTCTTCTGCCAGCTCATCTCTCCCCAGGCCGTCGGTGAGAATTTCCCAGATCCCACCGCGGCGCCATCACCATAACCCACAGCATCTCAGGGGCCTGTAGACCTCGCACGCCCCTCCTCCGCTCCTTCCCAAGTCTGTTCTCGGCTTTGCCACTGTCCCCCTTTCCCTGTTCACCTCCCCGGTCCCCGCTCAGACCTCTCGCTCCACCCCCATGTCTGGATGTCCATCTACCTTTAACCTCCAGCTTAAAGTTGCACATAATCACTTAAAACAACAACACGCTTTTAGGCTCTGGAATCCCTGAAATGAAGACAATTCTTCGCGGGGTGGTCCTGAAGGAGTATCTCACCCTCAAGGCCTTCGTGGCCAAGGTAGTGGCCCTGACCGCAGGACTGGGCAGTGGCATTCCTGTGGGGAAAGAGGTAAGACTCCAGTTCCTGCGGGGTGAGCGGGGCAGGCCTTCCAGCAGAGGGCGCCACAGAGTCTAGAGGGAGCTGGGGAGAATGGGGAGGTTGGGACCATGGGGATTCCTAGGCTACCAGGGAAGGTCCGCACCCTGGGGCACAATGACAAAAAACAGCAGAGCTGGGAGTAGCTTAGAGCAGAGTCTCACCTTTGGGGCACTCAGTGCTGGCATCTGGGGCTGAGTAATTCTTGATGCTAGGGGGCCGTCCTGTGCATTTGTAGGACGGCCTGTCCCTCCTACAAGCCAGCAGCAGCCTGGCGTTGTGACAAACCCCTGGAGGCAGAATCTCCCCCAGCTGAGAACCACTGCCTTAGAGAAAATCCAGACAAACCCTGTGAAAACTGAGACCTAAAGGAGGCTGTGCTTTTTTTCAAGGTTACTTGTAACCTTGTAAGAAGTTACATGTAACTTCTTGCCCTGCTGCAACCAGAGTTATCTTTCGAAATGCTATCAGGAATAACTGCCCTTTGGTTAGGAACTTCAAATGACTTTTCATTCCTTTTTTTTTTTTTTCTTTTGGCCATTTGACACGTGGGATCTTAGTTCCCTGACTAGGGATCGATCCTACACCCCCTGTGGTGGAAGGGCAGGGTCTTAACCACTGGACCCCCACCCCCACCACCCCAAGAAGTCCCTCCATTCCTTTCAAAATGAAGTCCAAACTTCTTTCCCGGAGCCTGTGGTGATTAGGCTCCTCTCTGTCCTGGCTTCTGTCCTCCCAGGCTACTCCCCCTTCCCGTTGCTGGAGTGACAAGGCACTTTCTGCCCCTCAGCCACCAGGTCTGCCCCCCTCTCCAGGTTCCTGCATTTGTTGTGCCCTCAGCCTGGAACTTTCTTCTACCGAGACCCTCATGGTCCTGTTTTCATGTCCATCAAGGCCCTACTCAGTTGTGACCTTCCCCACCCCACCCGTGTCTTTCCTCTCTCTCTTCTGTTGTTCAGTTGCTCAGTCGTGTCTGACTCTTTGCAACCCCATGGACTGCGGCACACCAGGCTTCCCTGTCCTTCACTATCTCCCAGAGTTGGCTCAAGCTCACGTACATCCAACCATCTTATCCTTAGTCTCCCCCTTTTCCTCCTGCCCTCAGTCTTTCCCAGAATCAGCGTCTTGTTCAATGAGTCGGCTCTTCCCATCAGGTGGCCAAAGTATTGGAGCTTCAGCTTCAGCCTCAATTCTTCCAATAAATATTCAGGGTTGATTTCTTTTAGGATTGACTGGTTTGATCTCCTTGCTGTCCAAGGGACTGTCACTCTGTGAGGTCGCAAAGAGTCAGACACAACTTAGCGAGTGAGCAACAATGAGGCCACCGAGACTGAAGTCCAAATTTGTCTAGGTCAACCAAAGCCGTGCGGGCAGAAGCAGCTTTGAGGCTCAGGTCTCCTACTTGCATAGGTGGACTACCTATTGTGAAGGCAAGGACAAATTAACACTAGAAGAGTTACTAATACTGGCAATTTCTCAGGCATGTTTTCCCTACCTTATGATTTCCTCTCTTCTATATTCTCTGAAATTTACTGTTCGCCTTATTTCTTTGTATAATTTCTTAGTTCATTTTTTCTTTATAATTTCTTCTTTATAAGTACTGCTTTATCTACATTCTCAAACTTTTGATATATAGTATTTTATTGTGATTTAGTTCTAAAACATTTCTAGTTTCTTTGACCAAATTACATATATATACATATATANTGGGGGTGGGGGCTGCTCGAGGAAGGGGGATGGGGGCGGGCCTTTCAGGGAGTGACCCCGAATCACATCCCGAATCACTCACTAAACCAGAGAGTTGTGTGTTCTTTTAGCAGCTGCTGGCTCTTCCATGCCATTTGTCCAAAGCCCTTTCCTGTTATCACTTCTGGGCCCGATTGTCCCCAGCCCCCCTCTCTAGTGACCCTTTAGGCTTACCTGCCTTCCGTAAATTTGCCTAACCGGTTCATTTTCTATGTCTGGCTTTGCGCTATGAGATCACTTCCTGTTTGCCAAACTAACTGAGTTTCTCCTGGCGTGGGATAGCCCTGGGGAGATGGGGGCCCCTGTGATGGATTCCCTGTGACTCAAGTCTCTTCTTCTCTGTCCTCCCTCCTTGCCTGTTCTCCTTCCCCTCCCTGCCTCTTGCCCTCTGTCTATCTGTCCCCTAGTAGCAGCCATACTATTACACTGACATGCTGACGGTGGGCTGTGCCGTGGGAGTCGGCTGCTGTTTTGGGACACCTCTTGGAGGCAAGTGATGTACCCGCTCCTGCATCAGTGCACTTGCCTGTTCTTGCTCCCAAAATGGTTACTGCCAGCGTCCCCAAGTTTAAGTATTACCAGTTTAAACAAGGGTAAAGCAAGATAGCTTTTAGTGAGCATTTACTATGTGCAGGCAGTGTTCTAAAGACTTTACATCCCTTCCTGCCCAGAGCTGTATGAGGTTGATATTAAAGAAGAGAGAGTAAGTGACTTGCTCTGAGTAAGTGGGAGAACCAGGAAGGAAAACCGAGGTGGCCTCTGTGGGACCTCTACTTATATTGTGTTTGTGAGTGCTCAGTTGTGTCTGACTCTGCGACCCCATGGACTGTAGCCCTCCAGGCTCCTCTATCCATGGCATTTCCCAGGCAGGAAAACTGGCATGGTTTGTCATTGCCATTTCCTCCTCCAGGGGCTCTTCTGAACCCAGGGACTGAATCCATGTCTCTTGTGTCTCCAATATGGGCAGACGGATTCTTTACCACTGTGCCACCCAGGAAGCTAGACAGCCCTTTGTACTGTTGGATATTTTTGCCCTTCACTTATTACATCTTCTAACAGGGGGCTTCTGTATGTATGTGTGTGTGTATATATATATATATATATAGCTCTTTAATCATTCTTTTTTTGTTGTTATTTTAATTGAAGTATAATTGACATCTCTATATACTTGACATCTGTATGTATTTTCTTCTCCAAAGGAAGACTGACCTTTGCTTGTATGTTGTTAAGGGCATGGGAGTTTCAGTTCAGTTAAGCTGCTCAGTCGTGTCTGACTCTTTGCGACCCCATGGACTACAGCACTCCAGGCCTCCCTGTCCATCACCAGTTCCTGGAGCTTACTCAAACTCATGTCCGTCAAGTTGGTGATGTCATCCAGCCATCTCATCCTCTGTCATCCAGTTCTCCTCCCAACTTCAATCTTTCCCAGCATCAGGGTCTTCTCCAATGAGTCAACTCTTCACATCAGGTGGCCAAAGTACTGGAGTTTCAGCTTCAACATCAGTCCTTCCAATGAATATTCAGGACTGATTTCCTTTAGGATGGACTGGTTGGATCTCCTTGCAGTCCAAGGGACTCTCAAGAGTCTTCTCCAACACCATAGTTCAAAAGCATCAATTCTTCAGCGCTCAGCTTTCTTCACAGTCCAACTCTCACATCCATGCATGACCACTGGAAAGACTGCAAGACCATAGCCTTGACTAGACAGACCTTTGTTGGCAAAGTAATGTCTCTGCTTTTCAATATGCTATCTAGGTTGGTCATAACATTCCTTCCAAGGAGTGTCTTTTAATTTCATGGCTGCAATCACCATCTGTAGCGTGCTCAGTTGTGTCCAACTCTTTGCAACCCCATGGACTGTGGCCTGCCAGGCTCCGTTGTCCATAGGATTTTCCAGCAAGAATACTGAAATGGGTTGCCATTTCCTCCTCCAGAGGAGCTTCCTGACCCAGGGATGGAAGCTATATCTCCTGCATTTCTTGCATTGGCAGGCAGTTTCTTTACCACTAGCATCACCTGGAAAGGCATTTAGATGAATAGTCAGCTTTATTTTTATTTTGGCCACACTGCACAGCATGCGGGATCTTAGTTCTCAGACCAGGGATTGAACCTGGCCCCCTGCATTGGGAACTCAGAGTCTTAACCACTGAACCACCAAGGAAGTGCCAAGGGTCAGCTTTAGATGAGGACTACAGATGAGAATTAAAGGCTCATTTTTTCTTGATCACAATGTAAAGTTGAATTTAGCTCTCTACTAATGTTAGACAAAGGGCAACTTTTCAGACTTTTTCCTTGTCCTGTATGACTAACAAGTGTGCCTGGTCAGAGACAGCTGCTGTATCTGTTTATTTACTCACTGATAACAGTTGTAACCAGATTAACAGAGCAAGGATTATATAGATCACTGGTTGGATTCATTGGTGATAAAAAAGGTACCATGTTAATTATTGGAGAAGCAGAATTGCAGGAAAGGCATCTGCTTCATAAATGCACCAGCTGTTAGAGGTATCTTTCAATTATGAAAATGTAATCAGTCCTTTCATTGAAGAGTTTTTAGGAAACCAAGATGACTTGGCTCAGGAATGATACATGGACAAACATTAACAGTTAATGAAAATGTACCAAGGTCACTTGAACTGACGCTAAAGCAATGCACACAGCATAAGGAAGATAGGTTGCAAACGAGTTAGCTGGAATCCTGCTTGTACTACTGAAGAACACTTTTAGAAGGGTAGCATTTTTTTGTTGTTTTGTTTTTAATCCAGATTCTTTTAAAGTGAAGAGAATATTATGTGTATATATATATATATATATATNGATATTTTTATAAATGATGCATTCTCCCAAGAGGCAGGTTATTAAAATTTCAATTATATATGTGTGTGTGTATGTGTGTGTGTATATATATATATATATATGTATATTTTTTTTGCATAAAACTAGAAATTCTGAGATGAATGAGGAAGGTTCATGATCTTGTCTAGAGACTGGGAGAGGCAAATAGTTAAGTTACAGATAAAACATGGCTCTTGTCATAAGTTGACATAAGAAAATGTTAAGCATTGAAAAGTTAAAATGTTTACTTTTAGGATGTTTGTAGTAAGTGGCAAATATTAAATGAACTTGCAGATAACCTTATTTGATAGCTTTATTTTACAAATATGGATTAATTCTAGAAGAAAAAAACTAGTATTAGAGTAATTTATTCACTCTGTAGCCAACTCTTAATGCCTTACACTGATGAAATCTACTTCAACCTTTGGCTAAAACGACAAGCATGTTTTTGTTTACATATACACCCTCTGTGGTGAGCAGAGGCAGCACCTCTCTCACTGTGCTAGTTACTATGCTCGCAGGTACCCACAGCAGAAAGGGTAGACAGGAAGGCCAGCAGACCATCACAGCCCACTCAGAGAAGCATCCCAGTGACAACCTGGGCAAAGTGCAAAGAATATTCTGGAGAGAAGAGACAGCATTGCAAAGTCAAGACATACAGGAATAGAATGTCAATACATGAGTATTACTAGAGGACACAGGGGAAGAAATGACAGGAAATGAGTCTGGACAGGTACCTGGGGGGTGATTCATGAATGTCATCATAGGAAATGCACAAGAATGTCAGTTTCACTCTCTAGGCTAGAGTTTGCCTGAATGTGTTGTACAGAACACAGTTCATGGTGTTAACAGATATAACATGTAAACAGTGTTCCAAGATCAGATACGTTGGAAAATACTGTGTTGAATAGATGTTTTTTAAATGGGAAGAGGTCTCAGAACGTTCACTATGTTGACATGCCCTGTGAATATCCCACGTGGGGCTCAAAGACAGTATTTCCCGCAGAATCTTTTTGCAAGGACCCTCTTTATGGAACTCGTAGTATTTCATGGACCCGACTTTGGGAAATGCTGTCATGGGTGAAGGGGAGTCGGGGAAGAGTTTCAAACAAGGCCAGCTTTGGCCAGATAGAACTGGCCTGTGGATTAACAGGATTTATCCAGGATTAACAAGAAGACTATTGTCATAGTCCTGATGATGCTAGATGGTGAGAGACTGTACTGGGTGGAGGCGGAGGCGACAGAGAACAGGATGATATATAAGGGTGATAGAAAAGAAAATGAGTGGGACCTGGTGGCTGATTTATGCGAGGTTATGAAAGATAAGAAAGGAGGAGGAATCTAGGCTAACTTTCAGTTTTACAAGGAGGAACATGCGGTGGATAGTGGTGTTGCAAGCAAGATAGGAAATATAGGAAGTGAAACAGGTCTAAGAGAGTTGACAAATTTTGCTTTGAATACATTGAATTTGAAGTTCCTGTGACATCTCCAAGTGACATCAAATAGGCAGCTGGCTTGCTGAGTCTGGAGTCCAGGAACTGAGCTGAAAGCATGGCTTTGTCAACCCATTGGTTAGCACGGGGGTGGTAGTTAAAGCCATCTGCATAAATGAAGTTGAAAAAGTGGATCTACAAGTCACAAGAGTCAGAGATCAAGGCCCATGGCGCCAGAGGAGGAGACAGAGAGGAGCCTCCAGGGTGGGAAAGAGAGCGATGTTATGGAACCTAGGAGACCAGAGAGTTTCCAAATGCTGTTTGTGTTTGTTAATGCTTTGTTTCCTTTTAGTGGCACATTTTCTGTTTGGCTCAGGCAAATACGAAAATTCACTCTCATTCCGAAGTACACAGTGACAGACTGTTAGAGAACGTGTCCCAGAACTCGAGATGGGAAATCTAGCCTAGGATTTCAAAAGCTGGTCGTCAAATATTCGTAAGTCGGATAGTTTACATTTCGACAGATCAGAGCCAACTTTGGTTTTATTCAGTTCAGTCACTCAGTTGTGTCTGACTTTTTGTTACTGCTGAAGAAAAGGAGCAGTTTGTTCTGCCTGACGCCCCCCACCCCTGACTCCCCAAATCCTCCTTTTAGGCCAAGGGAGCAGCTGCCGAGCCTGATGAGATTTGGGGAGCAGGGGCCGGTGAGGGTTGGTTGGCAAAGTGCTGTCCCTCAGATTCCCTGTTTTCTGAAATTCCACTCGGCTATGATCCCTTGCTCTTTTTCTTCCTTCCCCTGTCCCCCACTTCCCCTCCTTTACCTTCCCCTCCCCTCCCCTCCCCTCCCTTCTCATCCATAGGACAAGGCTTTGAGCCCTGAGGATGTACCAGGCATCACCCTGTTAGGTGTTAGGAATCCAAAGAACCTTCAGTCCCAGGGGGACCTTAGAGATGTAAATAGAGAACTACCTCTGAAAGTGCTAACAGGTGCTCTGATGCCCCAAATTCCCAGAAAACAAGATAAGGGAGGGGCTGTTTTTACCTGCAGAGGGGGGTTGGGGATCCCAGAGAAGGGGGACTAGTTCCCAGAGAAGGGGAACCACAATATATCCTCTGCCCAAATCCAGCAGCTCTTCCACATGGGAGCAACCATTAGGCCACCCTCGCTGTGGCATAAATGACTTCCTATCACCATTGACTATCGCCTGCAGCAGAAAGGGCTGGAATCCTGAGAAATCAAGAGATGTGACTTTTGGAATCTAGAACAAGGGGAAGAAAATGGCTTGGATGTGAGAGGCCACGGGATGGGAAGCAGGTGGTGGGGTTGTGGGGTGGGGGGTGGAGGGTCTCAGCCATCCAGTAGCCACAGAGAAGCAAGAGACAGTAACCCGACCTAGTTCACAGGCTTTCCTGGGGCTGTTTCCGCTCACGGTCACACAAGGTCACCCCATCAATGAATGGCAGACCCAGGGTTCAAACCCAAGGCTCACTCTGAAGTTAGGCTCTTCCCACAGCAACTGAGGACTGTGGATCAGAAGAGGCCCAAGGCAATCAGGAGCGTCAGGCTGGGGGTGACATAAAATAGCGGGCACCCGCGCCTGCCTGACCTTAAGTTCATCTCAAACGGAAATGCCTTCAGCCCTTTCGGAAGTCACTTTCACCTCATCTTAAGGACTACAAAGCCACCGGACGTGACGTATAGGTCACATGGTGACGCGGGGGCAGGGCTAGGGAAGAAACATCCCCAGCGGGGATGTGGCCGCGGGTTTTGCATGGTCCAATGAGGGTGGGCGGCGTGGCCAGGCCTGGTGGCAACGATGGTGTGCATTTCTTGTTTTCCTTCTTCAGCTCTGATAAAAATGAGGCTTAGCCAGGTGTTAGGTAATTCTGTTGTCAGTTTCCACTTTGCATATAATCATAGTCTTCTCTCCGATTCGTGGTATGTGTAAAGATTATTTTCTTTGTATCTCTTGAGTCTTTTATGCCCTTGTTAGCTTCCTTCCTTTGTTTCCATGAGCTCTTGCTATCTTTCTGTTTATTTACCTTCTCATTTCTGCTCCAGCATCTACTCTCAGAAACAGGACAACTTAGGACTCTCAATTAGCTTGCCTTCTACCTCACCCTCCTTTCTTGAGCATAATGGTTTGTAACTTCTTTGAGCTTCTTGGTTTCCCCTGCTGGATCTGGTCCTTTTAAGTCAGGTTTTTACATTTTAATTTAAAAAAATATTAATGAATCCTCTCTTGGAATACTGAGTACTGTCAGCTCTTACAAAGTCCCTTCCTTTTTGTTTTTCTTATTTCTTCCCTAAACGTTGCCATGGTACATGGCATGTGGGAGAAGGGAGGAGAGATTGTGGGGGTGGGGGGGTCGTTATGGGTAGTCCCCGTAAATCTTGAGCTCTGCTTAGTACTCTGGTGAGCACTCACTGTGGAAGTTTTCCCTCTTGTAACTTTTCTGCAGAAAATTTTCAGATCCCTGTGGATATCAGACAACTGTGAATTCCACCCATCCCTGATTTCAAAGGGGTGGAACAGGCACGACCGTCACATGTTGTGGGTTAAACCCCCTTCATTTTCCATCCTCTCTGTATCTTGTTGGACCATCTCTCTGGTCTGCAAAAACTGCTAGCATGGGCAGGTATATGGTTTAGAGCATGGTATACTCCAAGAGACCATCCGTTTCCACTACTGCTCCCCTTCGTGGCTCAAGGAGCCAAAGCTCCTGGGCTGCCTGGGGTGGGGGTGTGGGAGAGAGCCTTACCCTGGCCTGCACCTGACCCGATTTCCTTGCCCCGTAGGAGTGCTGTTTAGCATCGAGGTCACCTCTACCTACTTCGCTGTGAGGAACTACTGGCGAGGATTCTTTGCAGCCACGTTCAGCGCCTTTGTTTTCCGAGTGCTGGCCGTGTGGAACAAGGATGCTGGTAACATGGGAAGCATCATCTAGGAAGTGGGACTAAGGCCCAAGGGTATATAGAGGGCAAGGGTACAGGTCATGGAGTAGGGGGGTGTCTCTTCCAGTTGTTTAGTCGTTAAGTCATGTCTGACTCTTCTGCAACCCCATGGGCTGTAGCCCACCAGACTCCTCTGTGCATGGAATTTTCCAGGCAAGAATACTGGAGTGGGTTGCCATTTCCTTCTCCAGGGGATCTTCCTGATCTAAGCATCGAATCTGCATCTCCTGCCTTGGCAGGCATATTCTTAATTGCTGAACCACCAGGGAAGCCTGTCTCTGCCAGTAGTGTTAGGAAAAAGAAATTAAATAGAGGGGATGGTGGGTTTGGAGGAAGCTTTAATCCTGAAGGCTGATGACCTTGGGTCCTTCTCCATGGCTTCTGTGACACTCTCCCACCATGACCTTGGTCTTTCCATCCTGTAGTCACCATCACAGCCCTCTTCAGAACCAATTTCCGAATGGACTTCCCCTTTGACCTGCAGGAACTCCCAGCCTTTGCGATTATCGGGTCAGTGGGCTTGACTGCTCTGGGAGTGGGGGTGGGGGGGCAGGGCTGGGGATAGCTTTGGATTGGAAAGGACCCAAGCTGGGAAGTTGGCATGGGCAGGGGTAAGCTGGAAATTGCTGGGGGGGAGGTGGGTAGAAAGGGCAGGTGGATGCCTGGTATCTGCTTCCCAGCAGTGGCCAGGGCCGAGGGATGAGGGTTTCATTTCTGTATGGCTTACACCCTCAGGATTTGCTGTGGGTTCCTGGGAGCTGTGTTTGTGTATCTGCATCGCCAAGTCATGCTCGGCGTCCGAAAGCACAAAGCCCTCAGCCAGTTTCTGGCTAAGCAGTGAGTCACTGCCCTACCCGTTTACTCTCTGGTTTCTCCTCCCTTTTAATCTTGGCGGAAGGCGTTAAATGCCTTTTGGTGGCTTGTGATAAAATACAGAAGCCCAGATACCCTACTAGGGACGAGCGGTGTGGTTTCCCCTTTAAAGATTGCTTATCGGTGGAGAGAGTGCTCCGTTTAATGGCCTGAGACCACAGGGGACGCCAGGAAACTTAAGATTCCCAGGGTCCAGTGTGGCATCCACTGTGGGTTGGCCAAATCAGGGTGAGGATTAATTCTAAGTAATTAATCCTGTTTCTTTTCCAGCCGCCTGCTCTATCCTGGAATCGTCACCTTTGTCATCGCCTCCTTCACCTTTCCACCAGGAATAGGGCAGTTTATGGCTGGAGAGGTCAGCTCCAAGGGTGACCTTTGAGGGTGGGGGTCAGGTCACTGAGACTAAACCAGGATGGGACCACGTGGAAGAGGAAGAGGTGCAGGTGACCCTCGGGCTTCTGAGCATATGTGCTTTTGCCCACGGATGGCATCGCTCCCTGAGAAAAAAGCGGAAAGGGACCCATGAAAAATGAGACCAGGGAATCGGTTCTCTTTAAAAAAATGGAAGTACCGAACATCTCTGGAGAACTGCTCCCTTTTGCTTCCTCCTTTCACAGCTGATGCCTCGGGAAGCCATCAGTACCCTGTTTGACAACAATACGTGGGTAAAACATACCGGGGACCCCGAGAGCCTGGGCCGGTCAGCTGTGTGGATCCACCCCAAAGCCAGTGTTGTTATCGTCCTCCTCCTCTTCTTCATCATGAAGGTACCTCCCCTACACCCCTGACTCCCTGAGCTTCTGTTTTCAACCTAGGAACCAGGGTTTGTATAAGGGGTGTGTGTGTGTGTGTGTGCGTGCCCCGAGTATCCGACTCTTTGCAACCCCATGGACTGTAGCCCACCAGGCTTCTCTGTCCATGGGATTTTCCAGGCAAGAGTACTGGAGTGGGGTGCCATTTCCTCGTGCATCTCATGCATTGGTAGGCAGATTCTTTACCACTAGCGCCACCTGTGGAGAAGGAAATAGGAGGAGCCTGGTGGGCTGCGGTCCATGGGTTCGCTAAGAGTCAGACTCAACTGAGCGACTTCACTTTCACTTTTCACTTTCATACATTGGAGAAGGCAATGGCAACCCACTCCAGTGTTCTTGCCTGGAGAATCCCAGGGACGGGGGAGCCTGGTGGGCTGCCGTCTATGGGGTCGCACAGAGTCAGACACGACTGAAGCGACTCAGCAGCAGCAGCAGCAGCGCCACCTGTGAAATCGTGAAATCCGTCTGAGCCTCTAGGGAAGCTCCTTTGCATGAGGTGAAAGTGAAAGTGAAGTTGCTCAGTCGTGTCCGACTCTTTGCGACCCCATGGACTGTAGACTACCAGGCTCCTCCATCCGTGGGATTTTCCAGGCAGGAGTACTGGAGTGGGGTGCCATTTCCTTCTCCATAAGGTAGGGAAGGGTAAAACTTGGCCTGGTCTTTGTCCAACCTAAAAAGGAACAACTTGGAAATCAGAGCCTAAGTATTAATAAGTTGCTCATCTAGAAAACTGAACCAATATCTGGGTTAATGTTCCATTCATGTCAACTTCATGATGTTGTCATAATTATTATAACCCTTCTAAAGGTTCCACTTGCTAAATTATTGAGACACCGCAGCCGCTGAGTAAATAGGGACAAGACAGAGCTTAAGCAATACAATAACTGTGTGAAGACCTCAGATAAATTAACCAAATCTCTCCACATATTAGATAATTAGGTACTTCATCTCCAGCATCTGATTACCCATTTTCAGATGATTTGCATATCCATTTTTCTCCCAGTCTGGTGGATAATCTCTTCTCTAGAATTGCAAAAGAGATAAAATATTTAAATCCATTTTATTAGTGACTATAAATAATTTTTACAATATTATTATTCTCTATTGAGGTAATGAGGCTGTGAGGATTTTGCCATTCTTAAACCATTTTCTTCTGACTTAAGTTAGGAAACAAAAGCTGATCTCTTTTACTTACATTGGTTCTTTCTCATATCTTCCCATCAAGGATCACATGGTTATAGATTTTTCAGTTACTGCCTTGTACAAGGTTATTTTTATTCCCACCCCTGGTTGTGACATCTGTTATAATTGCTGTTTGTCTTTTTCTCTCTTTTTGATGATTGCCTCATTATTAATAGTATGTCTTGTCTGAATAGCCCATGATTTTCCTGTATATATTTGGAGCAGAAAATGGCAACCCACTCCAATATTCTCACCTGGAGAGTCCCATGGACAGAGGAGCCGCGTGGGCTCCAGCTCATGGGATTGCAAGAGTCAGACATGATTTAGCGGCTAAACCTTGTCTGAATAGCCCATGATTTTTCTCTATATGTTAGGGTTTTAATTTGATTTTTTTTTAACAAATCCAAGTAACGATTCTATTTTAGTCTATAGCACAATTTTTTACATACATTTTAGTGGATTTAACAGTACTTTTGGGCAGACTTTAGATGAATCCACAAAACTTCATACATTTAAAATAAAATATAGACAATAAAGCAGTAGGCATCTAGATGTTCAGAATCATGCATAAGGAGTGTTCTGGTTGGTGTTATCACTGGATAACTTGCCTTTTAAGAATTCACCAGCAAAAGGCAGTTCTTCTGTTCTTCATTCCCATATAATTTACCAAAGTCAGAGAGTTCTGTCCACATTGAACTTTCATGTTTATTAAGTTATTCTTTTTTAAAGAGAATCTTTTTTTAAAAATTAATTATTTTTGTCTGCGCTGGGTCTTTGTTGCTGGACGTGGGGTTTCTCTAGTTGCAGTGAGTGGGGGCTACTGTCTAGTTGTGGTGTGCAACTTATTCTTGATACTTACTGTGAAACTATTTCCATAGGATATGAGTCACTAGGTTATACTGTAATAGCTGTAGTGGGTTCATTCATCCATTTATTCAATAAGTGTTCTAATGCACATACTGTGTGCCAAATATGAGATACTTGATTATTGATCTTTGGCATATCTAATGCTTGTGGTTGGAAAAAGTTATTTAAAAATTTCTAATTGATTTTTGCTGCTCATTTAATGTGATTGTCAACGGTCTTATGATTAGAGATACCAAGTGCTTGACATACCAGGTTCCAGCTCTGTCACTTATGTTTTCAGGATTTGCTTTGGGGTTCTGGGAGCTGCATTTATGTATTCTGTTTCTTATTCCATTCTACGTGGGTTAATTGGGTCTATGGCTTCCATATTTTGCACACCCACTTTATTAATTAGATCATTTTCATTTCTTCCTTCAAAAGATTTGATATTTTTTAGTCATAAACTTCTCCGTGTCTTGCTAGGGATCTGATTTTTCATTATAGAGTTTATCTTCTCTAATTTATAAACCCCAGCTACTTGTAATTAGCTGTTGAGCATACAAACCCATCTGCAGCAACCAAGTCCAAGTTTTGATGGCATCTCAGGATTTATTGTTCAATGATAATAATTCTGTGTTTGTGATACTCCTCTAGATTGAACTATTTCTTTGGGGTCATATATATTTTTGAAACATTAAGCATTTGAAAGTTTTTGGAGAAACAAAATTCTGTATATATTTTCAACATCTCCTTCATGCCTCCCCTCATTTCCCCAGATATTTCCCAAGCATATCTCTGGATCCCACTTTACAGAATGAGGTTTATTCTGAGAAACCTACGTGGATTATATAGAAGGACTAAGCTGTATGTCACTCACTAATTTCTTACTTAATTACTTCCTCATTAATGTCTACATATAAGAGAATCCAGAAAAGAAACTCGGGGCTTTCCTGGCAGCTCAGTGATAAAGAATCCACTTGCCAGTGCTGGAGACACGAGTTTGATCCCTGCTCTGGGAAGATCCCACATGCCACGGAGCAGATAGGCCTGTGCACCACGACTATTGAGCCTGTGCTCTGGAACCCAGGAGCTACAACTACTGAAGTCGGGGTTCCCTGGAACCTGTGCTCCACAGTGAGAGACGAGAAGTGCTGTCACAGCTGGAGAGGAGCCCTCGCTTGCCACAACTAGAGAAAAGCCCGGGCAGCAACAAAGACCCAGCACAGCCAATAAATAAATAATTTTTTTTAAAGAAAAGCAGCTCACATTTCTTGGGCTATATTTCAAGCCCAACAGTTTGCAGCCAGCCTGTACTATTCTATAATATTCTAAATGTAAAACCATCCACTGCTATAAATCTACATTACCTAGTTATCACTGCTTCCAGCATCTTCACTCTCCTATCACTGGACATATGACCATACCCTTATTTCCAAAATGGGGACAGTAAAGATACCTAACCACATTAAAACATAGAATTGACTAGAACTGTTTTTCCACAGTCTGATTTGAAATTTAGCCCATGTGGTCTTTTGGCAGTATCCGTGTTCACAGATTGGATTCTCAGTTCAGCTCTTTTATAAAACACTGATGAAGGGAACTTCCATCTTCTCAATTTTAAGACAGGGAAAGTTATCATCTTGTTGTGAGTCTGGTGTGTCTCTAATGAGTATGAATATGATTACAACATCTCCATTTCCTTTTTAATGAGTCTAACGTTATTAGCTAGTATCATTGAGTTCTCAATACAGCCTGAGGCTCTGGAGAATTCTTGCCTAATCTTCCCTTGGTTCCTCCTTGTGAAGCATCTAAATAAAACACAATCTGTGAGAAGGGGTCTCTAGTTTCCCACTTCTCTAGAACTGGGGGCTTAAAATCTTGGGAGTAATTTGTGTTCCAGATCACTTGCCCTGCTTCTGGATTTTCCCTTTTGTGTGCTAACAACTCACAAAGTTTGCTAGTGTCAAGCGTCCACCTCTGTGCTGCAGGAATTGATAACTTTCAGCTTCCTGTGATGCTGATCCTGTTCTTACACGTATCTTGGAAGATAATCTAAAGTTCATCCTCTGAAATCAGACGCATCGGTCACCTATTATCTGTATTACTGGAGCTTTCAGATTAACCTGAGCCTACAAAATCCCTTATGGCTTTCATGTACTTATTCCAAAGAGATAGTAGGGAATAGTTCAAGAGGTTTCCAAATGTTATGAGTCAGGATCCCTTAAGAAGCTTAAACTATCAGCATCTAGAACTCCGTCTCCAGACAGTCCAGTGGGGTAGCCTTCCGTGATGTCTGCTCATCACAGTTCAAACAAGTTCCCCTGCAAGCATTACTGGTGGGTGTTTTAAGCAAATATTAGCTCCGAGAAGCATTTCTGCTTTGTATGAATACTGTTTGATGAAACTCTTCTTTCTTTCCTTCCTTCCTGCCTACTTAACTTACCTTCCTACCTCCTACCTACCTACCTCCTACCTACCTACATCCTACCTGCAATTATTGAAGACTGTGCTGGTACTGAGAGAAGGCAGAGACAAGGCAAACTCTTGTAACACACACAAGGAATTTGCAATCTGCAACCCTCTTCATTTATACATTTAACTCTGCTGTTCTCAACTTTGCTGTTTTAAATAGTTCTATTCTGACAATTGTAGAAGGAAATGACAACTCACTGAGGTATTCCTGCCTGGAGACTCCCATGGGCAGAGGAGCCTGGTGGGCAAAGGTCTATAGGGTTGCAAGAGTTGGACACGACTGAAGCAACTTAGCATGCACATGTGCATTCTGACAAATATGTATTTAGCTTGATCTCAGAGCTTCTGGGACAAAGGCTTCTCAGAGCCTGTATCATTGTCTTTTTTCTAAATTTATTTTTAAGTGCGGGCAAATTGCTTTACAATGTTGTGTTGGTTTCTGCCGTATGTTTATCAGTGTCTTTTGAGGTCAGCCCTAGCTCAAGGGAATCTCTCTAAGGTTCAGAAAGTGAGAAACTTTATTTTCACTAGTTTACAATAAAGTTGGTACAGTTTTTCATCTTTGTGATCCCATGGGCTATACAGTCCATGAAATTCTCTAGGCCAGAATACTGGAGTGGGTAGCTTTTCCCTTCTCCAGGGGATCTTCCCAACCCAGGGATCAAACCCAGGTCTTCCACATTGCAGGCAGATTCTTTACCAGCTGAGCCACAAGGAAAGCCCATGTTCGCAGCAGAGTAGGCAAAAGAACTGAGAAATAGGATGGGAAAAAGACTAGTGATTGAACTTTTGAAATATCTGTAAAAGAAACAAAAATATGCGACATAATATATAAATTAAGCCACCGGTTTACATATGACTTCCAAAATAAGTAAACCAATCTAAGAAAAAGGTCTCAAACTAATTTGGTGAAGGATGACAGCAGCTAAGGGTCAAAACAAATTCAGTTCAGTTCAGTCGCTCAGTCGTGTCCGACTCTTTGCGACCCCATGAATCGCAGCATGCCAGGCCTCCCTGTCCATCACCAACTCCCGGAGTTTACTCAAACCCATGTCCATCGAGTCGGTGATGCCATCCAGCCATCTCATCCTCTGTCATCCCCTTCTCCTCCTGCCTCCAATCCCTCCCAGCATCAGGATCTTTTCCAGTGAGTCAACTCTTCACATGAGGTGGCCAAAGTATTGGAGTTTCAGCTTCAGCATCAGCCCCTCCAATGAACACCCAGGATTGATCTCCTTTAGGATAGACTAGTTGGATCTCCTTGCAGTCCAAGGGACTCTCAATAATCTTCTCCAACACCACAATTCAAAAGCATCAATTTTTCAGTGCTCAGCTTTCTTCACAGTCCAACTCTCACATCCGTACATGACCACTGGAAAAACCATAGCCTTGACTAGACGAACCTTTGTTGGCAAAGTAATGTTTCTGCTTTTTAATATGCTATCTAGGTTGGTCATAACTTTCCTTCCAAGGAGTAAGAGTCTTTTAATTTCATGGCTGCAGTCACCATCTGCAAAACAAATTACCAGGATAAAAATATTTACAACTGAAAAACTGCACCAACTTTATTGTAAACTAATGAGAAATAAAGTTTCTCATTTTCTGAACCTTAGAGAGATTCACTTGAGCCAGGGCTGACCTCAAAAGACAATGATAAATGTACAGCAGAAACCAATACAACATCGTAAAGCAATTATGCATATTACTTTTGCTAAAATCATCCCAATTCCTTTTGCAATACTACCTTGGCCTTGGAGTTCTTTTCTATGACACTGGCTGGCTTAGCTGGCTCTTGGATTGTGCTCTTGCAAGTTGGTCAGGACAGATCTGATTTTCTGATCTTTGTTGAAGGTGATTTGACGTTAAAGGAAAATGTTAAACCAAATGGCTCGGCCAGGGCCGTCTTCACTCCAGGTTCCCTTGTGAGGTTTGCCATGTAGATGGCTTTGTAAATAACCTTACTGAAGCTAAATCAGTCACACAGTAAGTCACTATGACTTGAAGGTGTCTGCCACTTGGAAATGAGGCTCTTTTTCAGAAACATAGTCCGGCCAGGAAAAGATATCCTCCAGGTTCAAGAGCTTCAGGCTGTTCTGCTGAGGTGACCTTTTGGGGTTAAGAGGATACAGTGGGCTAGGGCCCTTTGGGGACAGTGACAGAGGAGTCCCCTGCGGCCCCAATCCTTGTTTTGATCACCTAAAGGCAAATATTGTCACTCCAAGTAGGAGCGATTTGGGTTAACTGCCTGGAAGAACCTTCTTATAATGTTGTCTTTGGTGATATCTTAGCCTGAGTGCTCCATGCTTTTTTTGGTTCTGGGGGAAGGTGACAGACAAGATGACTTCCAGAAGGATTAGCTCTCCCAGGATTTCTGTAACTCTTGGAACAAGAAGCAGAGAAGTAGTGGGAAGGGGGTTGTGAGTGTATGTGTGTGTGTGTGTGTGTGTTGGACACAGTCTAGAGGGTGCGCTGATGCCTCTTTTTACCCCAGTTCTGGATGTCCATCGTGGCCACCACCATGCCCATACCCTGCGGAGGTTTCATGCCTGTGTTCGTTCTTGGTAAGTTCTGATGGGAAGCCTGGGATCTTACTGGTGGTTCAGGCTAGGGTACTGTGAAAATAAGGAAAGGCCTGGAATACTGGGGGCTTGTGTTCAGTCTTAGCACCCAAGGAGGCATTGGCTCTTAAAAAATGGAGGATAGAGACCTTGAGTCTCTCAAAATCTTCCTTCTTTTGGTCTCTCCCTAGGAGCTGCATTCGGAAGGCTAGTAGGAGAGATCATGGCCATGCTTTTCCCAGATGGTATCTTATTTGATGACATCATCTACAAGATCCTACCTGGGGGCTACGCAGTTATTGGTAAGACACATTCCACCCTTCTGTAACCCCAGGTACCCACACTCAGACTCTCCCATGACATCTGCATTCCAGGCTGTACAATAATGGTCTTCATTTAATGCTATTTAATTCAACTTTTATTTAAATAATCAGCCCTTGGCTCTGACTCTAATTAGCTCTCATTAAACATCTTTGAGCCTCCCTATTTCTTCACACAGAATAGGGATTATAGGGATTAAATGAGATAATAAGGATGAGAACACCTAGGATTGCCTCTGAGTATTTGGTAAGGGCTTTTTCTTTTTCTCCAAAGAATCGTGGAAACAACAGTGCTTGTGACTGGCTCGAATACTTATACCTGCAGGTGTGCTCATGTTGATGAGACTTGGGGGCACATGACTAAGAGCTCAGAAATGTGGGCTCTGGTCTCATCCCTACCTCTTGTCACTGGATGACCATGGGGCAATTACCTGCCTTTCTGCACCTTAGTTTCTTTATTCTAAAATGACTTTGAGATGTCTTACACTCCTAACATTTTGAGAGTCTGAGATTATCTTTTCCCATGACATGTATAGTCCCTTCCACCCAAAACCCATGTCTAACAAAATGACCAGGATATTCACTAGAATTATTATGCTTCCTCCCTCCCTCTCCTCTTTACCAAAATCCCATGACATCTAAGGCCATGCTTCCTTTGCTATAGAAGAACTAACCAGCTTCATAGAACACACGGTGACCTTAGTCCTCCATCACAGTTCTGTACGGAAACTTCTTGCATCTGCTATTATTCCCTATCTTCACGCCTCTCAGATATCCCTTCAACCTCCCTGGTAGACATTTCCCTTCGCATGCATGTGTGCTAAGTTACTTCAGCCATGTCCGACTCTGTGATCCTATGAACTGTAGCCCACCAGGCTCCTCTGTCCATAGGATTCACCAGGCAAGAACACTGGAGTTGGTTGTCATTCCCTCCTCTAGGGGGTCTTTCTGACCCAGGGATCAAACCCGTTCTGTGCTTCCTGCATTGGCAGGTGAATTCTTTACCACTGAGCTACCTGGGAAGCCTATGTATATATATATATACGCACACATACATATATTGGCTTATATATGGGATATATATATCTCTCTCCTGTGTTAATGTTCTGTAGTATATTGCATGCACTATCCAGTAAAACCATTCCTCCCAATCTTTATCTTTTGTGACTTTTTCTTATTCTATTTTCATGTGTGGCTTCCCCAGCATCTTTTCTCATAGCATATCTTCCCATGTTTAAATAAGAAATAAAGTTAACGCACTAGGGACTCTTTGGCTGATGGGAAGTCATAACCAAAAGCAAGTAAGATAGATTCTATCTTCAAAGAGCTTATGGAATCATAATGTTTTAGACCTGCAAGGGCCTTAGAACTTATCTAATGACCCGTTTCACCTTAGAGATGAGAGCATGGGGTTCCAGAAGGATTAAGTTCTTCTCATACAGTTGAGAAATAGAATCAGGATCTTATTGCTCCAAGCCCACAGCAGAATTCTTGGGTTTTCAGTCTACTCATGAATTGCTGGCATCAGAACCTGAGGCCCAAAATAAAATGCTGTAAATGGGTTTTTAAAATGCTCAGTTAAGAGTGACCCAATTGTTTAAAAGCAAGGAACAGATAGCACATCACCATATTTTATAATGAAAATTTGGACACACAAAGTTTTTTAAGTTGCCAAAGGTTGTAGAATGAGATAAAAATGATTTTCTAACAGCTCAGCATTCTAGCCCCTACCTGACACACGGTCATCTCAGGAGTGTGGGCACTGCCCAGGGTCACCTCTCGCCACCGTGTCACTCCCGTCACACCCCCCACATAGCCTCCATGCCAAGAAAGGCAGCCCTAACCCAGGGTACACGTCTGTGTCTGATTCCAGGAGCAGCAGCGCTGACTGGTGCGGTGTCCCACACAGTCTCCACAGCCGTGATTTGCTTCGAACTAACGGGTCAGATTGCTCACATCCTACCCATGATGGTGGCTGTTATCTTGGCCAACATGGTGGCTCAGAGCCTGCAGCCCTCCCTTTATGACAGCATCATCCAGGTCAAGAAGCTACCCTACTTGCCTGACCTTGGTTGGAACCAGCTCAGGTCAGGGGCACCAGCTGGAATTAGCTCAGATCTGATGGGGTGGGGGTGGGAGGTTCTGAGATTGAGAATGAGGTTAGGGTCGATGTCTGGATGCACTGCTTTTTTAAAATTTATTTTTATATTCCCATGTACTTAATAATTTTATGAGTGATCAAATGCATGGTAAAAACTTCATGGGAGGAGTGGAAGGGACAGCCAAGGGACAGGCATATATGGTGGGGCTAACCTCCCCGGTGCTTTCTCCCTCCATAGCAAATTTACAATCTTTGTTGAGGACATCATGGTACGGGATGTGAAGTTTGTTTCAGCTTCCTGCACATACGGGGAGTTGCGAAACCTGCTCCAGACCACCACAGTCAAGACTTTACCACTGGTTGAATCAAAAGGTCAGTAGGAGGGAAGAAAGCAGATTCCTGGGCTAGTGACCTGAACAAAGGCGCCGCAGAAGTGCAGGCAGTACTGGGGTGAGCGCTTGTCTGTAGGGGCCACCCAGCCTCTGCTCTTTAGGGAACATAATCAGCCATCTTCAAGGAAGGAAAAGCATAGCCATAACACAAGCGCAGGAAGACAGTTAAAAATCCAGTAAAAGAAATACAGTTGATTCTCATTATTCCTTGTAGTTATGTTCTAAAAACTTGCCATGAACACTGAATTAAGGATACTGTACTGAACCTTGTGGCTCAGCTGGCAAAGAATCCACCTGCAATGTGGGAGACCTGGGTTCGATCCCTGGGTTGGGAAGATCCCCTGGAGAAGGGAAAGGCTACCCACTCCAGTATCCTGGCCTGGAGAATTCCATGGACTGTATAGTCCATGGGGTCGCAAACAGTCGGACACAACTGAGTGACTTTCACTTTACTGAACCATTGCTCCCAAAGGAAATTCAAGATGAAGTTCCTTCAAGCCTCTGGTCACATTTTCTTCAAGTAGTCAAAGCAGCATACACTTATCTTAAATGTGTTTCTCCTTGCGTGCGTGCTAAGTTGCTTCGGTCGTGTCTGACTCTTTGTGACCTTGTGGACTGTAGCCCACCAGGCTCCTCTGTCCATGGGGATTCTCCAGGCAAGAATACTGGAGTGGGTTGCCATGCCCTCCTCCAGGGGATCTTCCCAACTCAGGGATCGAACCCATGTCTCTTATGTGTCCTGCATTGGCAGGCGAGTTCTTTACTACCAGTGCCACCTGGGAAGCCCTGTGTTTCTCCTTAAAGACAACTTATTTAATATCTGTTGTTAATCCATTAACTTGGAACTCACCATGACCAACAGCATGATAGCTCATGGCTAAATAAAGCTTATCTAACACATGTATTTTCTACATAAGGCACATCACAGCCTTCTTGCTTGGGGGCAACTGTAAACAACAAAATCACCATCATGAAACACAAAAATACAAAAATCATGACATTCCATGGATCACGAAAGGAACACCTGTTTATAATACGAAGCTAGAAAAAAAAAAGACAGCACATCACTCTGTTCAGACTCAACCGGGAACATGTGTGTGGGGCACCTCAGATCTTTTGCTGCTTTACATGTGCCTGTGAATAATGGGGAAAGACAGCATGTATTGATTTTGGGTTACAAATACACTTGAGCCAGTGGGTGAATTCACAAATAGGTAATGGAAGTGGTTTTGTCGATAAATTGTGTCTGGCTCTTGCAACCTCATGGGCTTGTAGCTCACCAGACTTCTCTGTCCCTGGGATTCTCCAGGCAAGAATACTGGAGTGGGTTGCCATTTCCTTCTCCAGGGGATCTTTCTGACCCAGGGATTGAACCTGGGTCTCCTGCATTGTAGGTGGATCCTTTACTGACTGAGCTATCAGGGAAGCCTGCACAAATAGGGAATCTGTGAATAATGAGGCTCATCTGTAAATCTTCCACCCCTTGAGGTGGCTCTCTTTGCCCCCTAGTTAAATGACAGGTGTTCTTTAATACCCAGTTTAAGGAGCAGATGAGACTTTTCCATGTGAAGGAGTAAACATGTTTGATAAGTAGTGATTTCACTTCCTTCACCATCCTTTCTGCCCACCTCTGACACTTAATCTTGCTTTGTATTACTTCTTATTGTGGTTTCTATATCCATGTCTTATCTTCCTCACTAGATTCGGTATCCTTTGAGGGTTGAGACTATTAACATCTGTCTCCCTCAGACTTCTTCCTTATAGGTATTTACCAGATATTAAATAAATATTTGTTTAACGTTTGAATTAGTGTGATGGAATCATAGGGCCGTTTGAAGCCATTTAAATTATTAGCTCTAATTTCAGATGATTAGAATATCCAAATTACCTTAGTTTTAATATTTTCCCAAATACCTTTCAGTGGCCTCTAAAGCAGTGGCTCCTCACTGGGACAGGGGATGGGTTGCAGGGTTTTAATAGTAATGACTAAGATTTAACAGGTAAAGAATCTGCCTGCCAATGCAGGAGACATAAGAGATGCAGGTTCTATCCCTGGGTCAGGAAGAACCCCTGGAGGAGGACGTGGCAACCCACTATTCTTGTCTGGAGAATTCCATGGACAGAAGAGCCTGGCGGGCTACAGTCCTTAGGATCGAACAGTCAGACAGGACTGAAGCAACTTAGCATAGCACACAGCACAAGACCTAACAGTAAGATTTATCTCAATTACACTGCCTTAAGCTTGGACTTCTTTCTATTTTTTTTTTAATCTTGGACTTCTAAGGTGATGCTAGTGGTAAAGAACCTGCCTGCCAATGCAGGAGATGTAAGAGACATGGGGGTCAATCCGAGAGATGTGACTTTGATCCCTGGGTCAGGAAGATGCCCTGGAGGAGAGCATGGCAACCCACTCTAGTATTCTTGCCTCGGAAATCCCATGGACAGAGGATCTTGACAGGCTACAGTCCATAGTTGCAAAGAGTCTGAAGTGACTTAGCACGCATGCAATCTTATGGCCTTAGAATGCAATGAAAATGTTAATGATAGTAACAGAATGCTAATAAATATAAAGGGCTTCCTTGGTGGCTCAGAGGTTAAAGTGTCTGCCTGCAATGCAGGAGACCCGAGTTCGATCTCTGAGCCAGGAAGATCCCCTGGAGAAGGAAATGGCAACCCACTTCAGTATTCTTGCCTGGAGAATCCCATGGAGGGAGGACCCTGGTAGGCTACAGTCCATGGGGTCGCAAAGAGTCAGACACGACAGTGATTTCACTCACTCACTCACTCAATAAATATAAAAGAACTTTTCCTGAAAAAGGAGGCATTATGTCTATGCCTAGAAGGACCCAGAGTATTTTAGTGATTAAACATCAGATATCCTTGTAGCCTTTTTTCAAAGTATTGGGTTGGCCAAAAAGTTCATTTGGGTTTTTCCATAAGATGATACGGGCTTCCCTAGCGGCTCAGATGGTAAAGAATCCGCCTGCAATGCAGGAGGCCTGGGTTCAATCCCTAGATTGGGAAGATCTCCTGGAGGAGGGCCTGGCATCCCACTCCAATATTCTTGCCTGGAGACTCCCATGGACAGAGGAGCCTGACAGGCTACAGTCCCTGAGGTCATAAAGAGTCGGACATGACTGAGTGACTAAGCATAGCACACAGCACATAAGATGATCCAGAAAACCCAAACAAACTTTTTGCCCAGCCCAATATAGTCCCATATCAGTGTGAATGGTTTTTAATGTGTCTTTTTTTGGAGGCAGAGTTGATGAGCCTATTTTAATACCTAGTTCACCTGTTTGCAAACTCTCTATGTAAGGACTGCATCAAAATAAGTACAAATTAGCACCAGTTAATATACTCTCATGGAGAAGGAAATGGCAAACCACTCCATTATGCTTGCCTGGGAAATCCCATGGACAGAGGAGCCTGGTGGGCTATAGTCCGTGGGGTTCCAAAGAGTCGGACACGACTAAGCAACTGAATAACAACAGTGTACTCTCAATTGGGTCCCTAAGTGCTAAATGGGTGAAATAAAAGGAACTGAGTGAGGCTCAATCCTGAAAGACTTTGGAAATGAGTTTTTAGGAAGAGCGGGTAAGAGCTGAAAGAGTCGGGCGCTGGGCTGAGTCCCTGACTCCATCCTGCGGAGAGAGGGGCGAGGGGGTGATCGAGCTGTCCTCAGGCTCAGCCTGGGTCTCCCCCAGAGTCAATGATCCTGCTGGGCTCCGTGGAGCGGTCAGAACTTCAGTCCCTCCTGCAGCGTCACCTGTGTCCTGAGCGGAGGCTGTGGTTGGCCCAGGACATGGCGAGGAAGCTGTCCGAGCTGCCCTTCGACGGGAAGGTGCGGCCGGCTGGGGTGGGGCGCTCTGGTGTCTGGCCCCAGGGTCGACCCGAGTCCTTTGCCTTTGTGGATGAAGATGAAGATGAGGATCTCTCCGGGAAGCCCGAGGTAAGCGGGCTGGGAAGGGTCAGGGGAGCGGGACAGGTGGGTCAAAGGGAAAACAGGAAGAGAGAGGACTGATGCTGATCATTGACAAAGTCTAAGAGATCAGTGCCCCTGCATCCAGGGACTGAAGGAGATGAGGTTGCAAATTTTGGAGCCATGAGAATTCAGAGAGCTCTGAGGACTTCTGAACTGTACAGAACAATAGCATTAGATAGGTTTCCCAGGACACCAGCTGGTACAGGCAGGACGAGGTAGCCTCTTCTCTAGGACTGAGAATTTTTACTGTTCTCTACAGATGCCTTCTCTTCCTCCTCGTCACTCCCTTCCTACTGATCCACTGCCCTCCGAAGAGCCCAATGGGCCCCTGCCCAGCCACAAACAGCAGCTGGAAGCACTGGAGTCTACAGGTAAAGATTCTCCCATCATGCACCTCACCCTTGCCTCACACCTTGTGGGTTGTCTCTGCATGCTTCTCAACCTAAGGGCTGCTGTTATGAGGAGGGATGAGACCAAGGGATGGTGGTAGGGGATTTCTATTCTTTGAGTCCAATGTCACTGTCCCAAAGTGGGGGGGGGGTGCGGCAAGGACTGGATTAGGAGGGTGGGAGAGGGGACGTCCTATAGAGGTGAGGCACCTAGAGATTCGGACCTGTTTTGACAAAATATCAGGACAGCTGGGGCCCCTAACCATTTCTGCCCAGGATGGATAGTGCTTTGTCTCCATTTCCATCCATTCACCACTCCTCTCAGGTCCAAGACCCTCCATCTTCCGGTCCCTGCTTCGCTGCTTGCTAGGCAGAGCTCGCCCCAAAAAGAAGAAAGTGACCCAGGTGAGAAAAGATGTGTTGGGAAAGGGAACTTGTCTTTGAGGAGTGAGAATCCCATGATCCTTAGAGTGGGAGGGAAGAGGTCCCACCAGGGAAGAGAAACTTCATCATATGGAAGGGATGATGGGATGGAAAGAGGCATCTGTGGCCTGGCCAGGGAGAGGCGGTTATGGTTCTATGAGGAAGAAAAGGGAAGGAACTTGGATCTATGTCTTTCTCCTCTAGGATTCAACGGATTTAGTGGATAACATGTCTCCTGAAGAGGTAAGTAAAGGAAACAGGAAGCTGGGGTGAATCATTTTTCTGTTTGGTTTTGTTTTGCTGGCTGTGCTGTGTGACATGCAGAAATCTTAGTTCCTTGACCAGGGATAGAACTCATGCCACCTGCATTGGAAGCATTGAGTCTTAACCACTGAACCACCAGGGAATTCCCTGTCTTGTTAAGTGAAGACATTGCTCTTTTTTTTTTCCAATCTTCTTCATTGTGTTGTTGTAAGAATAAGATGTGAAGCTAGGCAGAAGGGCACTCTGAGAGGTTGTTAGTGGGGTTGTTAGTGGTGCTGGGCACATTGCTTGGAGGTGGGGAAGCATGGCGTTGTCCTCATGGGGACCAGTGTCATTTCAGGAGAAGGACGTTCTGAGCTGCTGTGTGTAGATGGGCCAGTGGTGCTAGGATGAGCCTTAGAGCTTTGGGACGTTAGAGGCATTCTGGACCAGGCAGACGCTATGTGGGAAGGATGACATTTACCTGCAGGAAAATGGCACTGGGCAGCCAACTCATACAAATGGAGGTGGAAGAACGGCATCAAAACTAAAATGGGGAAATCAGTGCCTGGTGAGGTTACTATGCTAGGTTGATCTGGGCCCTGAGACAGGGGACAATGGGAAGATTCCAGGAAGCGAGACTGGGAAGAACCACAGACTGAGGCCAAATACCGACCGTGGTGCCTCCTTGGGACAAATGCCTATTTTTGCAGAGAGGGGGCTGTTGAGTCCATGAGAGAGAAAATCAAGCACTGGGTGGAGCAGGTTGTGCTGAGTGACCAGAACATGGCACAGGGAACAGATTGGGAACATATGGCTGAGCTGTGCAGATCAGAACTACCCTGGGGTGTGGAGAGATACCAATAAAATCCATTAGCAACCATTCCATTTAGTCAAGAGAAGGCAAGCTTGCTGCAAAGGCTGAACGGTAGAGCTTTAAAAGTACGTGGCTGAAATATCAGACTTTTTAGCCTTCACAACTATGTAAGCCGATTCCCTGATCCCTACTCACCCATCCACCCCGCCCCCCTCTCTGAAAGTTGACGTTGCCAATGGTTGAACATTTTGAATGTACTAAAAGCCACTTAATTGTACACTTAAAATGGTTCAAATGGTAATTTTCATGGGAAATTTATCTTGATATTAAAATATAAAATTAGATATGCAAAATGAGCAAACAACAAAAAGTATGTAGCTGATAAAATACCATAATGTATATTATCTTCAAAGAAACATCTACTGGATATCCAGAATATATGCATCCATGCGTGCTTATTTCCTCAGTTGTGTCTGACTCTCTGGAACTCTATGGACTGTAGCCCACCAGGCTCCTCTCTCCATTGGAGTTCCAAGGCAAGAATAATGGAGTGGGTTGCCATTTCTTCCTCCAGGGGATCTTCCGGACCCAGGGATCAACCTGAGTCTCCTGAATCTCCTGCATTCTTTACCACTATACCACCTGGAAAATCCCATCCAGAATATATATGTGCTAAAAATTAAAAGTACTCAAGATTGGAGGAGAGGGTGGTTAGTGACAGACAGGAGAGAAAGGCAGGTCTTCCTCTTCTCCCCTTGACACCCCTCAAGACACACAACATTTCTGGATAAATGACCTGAAAAATCAAATGGATAATCACAGATGAAAAAAATTGAACAATTCCTCTACCCATAAGCAGGAATCAGATGGGTCATAACTACAATGAAGGAGTGCTTTACTAGGCTGCTGAAACCAATAATACTTTTTTTTTTAATGCACCAAAGAAAGCCAGCTAGTTGATCAGTGAGGTTATTTAATAACCACAGGAAATAAAGTGCAACTAGCGATAAAAGGAAGATAGATGATACATTTTTAGCTGATATCTATCTCAGGGAAGACTTTAAGCAGCTCTCAGCTCCCATGGGACCCACCATGACTCTTTCAAAGGATAAGATACAATAGGAGTCAAACTTAAGGATATTTTGAGCAGCGTTTTCAGGCTGGATACAGATGACACCCTTGACAATATCAAGATGAGACCTTTGGGAATAGTCAAAGAATTCAATTCTAGGTCACCTGAAGTCTTTGCTATGACTTGTCTACTAATTCCGCCGCTCTGTTAGGAATACACACCCATTAGAGTCCTGGTTTGTAATTGATGCTGAGCTTTTTAAAGTCGTGGATCACATCAAACCTAGAGCAGATGAAAACTGGGGTTCCTGGGACATGATGGGCAGTCAAGGTCGGAAGCCCACCTCTGTGTAATCTTAAGCATTTAAGGACAAACACTTAGGCACTCTGTTCCTCTGTTTTTCCTTATCTGTAAAGTAGAGATAACCATAGGGCAGAGGATTCGAGGAGTGAAGCAATTGGCATAAGGCTTGGCACAGAGAAGTGCTTGGTGTGAGTGCACGGGAAATGGTTCTGCTACTGTTGTTCCCCGAGGACAGGGAAAATGGAACCAGGGAGGCCAGAAATGATCAGAGCACACTGCAGGAGGGCAGTAGCAACCAAACCAGCATCAGCAAGGGTCTCGCTCCCTGTCATTTAAGTAAACCTTGTCTGCAACGTACCTGCTAAGTGGTCATCCATCCTGGGCTGAGTGCTGCCCAACTTTGGGTGGACTTTTAGTTAGGGAAGGTGAAAGTTTGGAAGAGGTGTGATTGTAGTCAGGAAAAAGCAGAATGGGACAGATGGGGAGAGCGCAGCCCTCTAGACCAAACACTGGATGTGAGATGACCTTCAGTGGGGGATGACCTTCAGTGGGGATGACCTACTGGGCTATGACCTTTAGTGACGTCCTCTGAAGCTTGAGACGTGTAGATCTGAGCAAACTGAAAAACAAAGACAGTAGAACCTCATTCAGAGGTTGTTGTGCAGTCACTCAGTTGTGTCCAGCTCTTTGCGATCCCATGGACTGCAGCACACCAGGCCTTCCTGTCCTTCACCATCTCCCGGAGCTTGCTCAAATTCATGTCCATTGAGTCAGTGATGCCATCCAGCCATCTCGTTCTCTGTTATCTCCTTCCCTTCCTGGCTTCAATCTTTCCCAGCATCAAGGTCTTTTCCAGTGAGACAGCTCTTGACATCAGGTGGTCAATGTACTGGAGCTTCAGCTTCAGCATCAGTCTTTCCAGAGAATATTCGGGGTTGATTTCTTTTAGGATTGACTGATTTGATCTCTTTTCTGTCCAAGGGACTCCTGAACGTTTTCTCTAGCACATTCAGAGGGGACTGAGAAGAGGTTACAGAAAATTTAAAATTCATTTATGAGAGCCACAGCGATACTGGATTATTTAGAGCCTTGGGGATTTGGGCATGCAAATCTAAAATCCAAAGCACAGTTGAACTTTTGCCTTATTGCTTTAGTCACAGACAAAGCAATACAATGTAGAACAAAACAACCAAACACACACACAAAAGCGGCTTGTTTGAGTCAACAAAGTGCCATGTGACCCAGAACAGCCCTTTAAATCCAATAAAGTTTCACCAAGATCTGCTTTGTAAAAGGTCAGCCTGCAGGTTTCTTCATGACGCACAATGATGGATGCCTCACAGCCCTCTGGAGGAGTTCCATCCAGAGCTAAGGCAAGTCTAAGATGGAGCAAGACCCACACTGGTTCTCCCAGAGTTTGCTCAGGCTCATGTCCATTGAGTCAGTGATGTCATCCAACCATCTCATCCTCTGTTGCCCTCTTCTCCTCCTGCCTGCTATCTTTCCCAACATCAGAATCTTTTCCAATGAGTTGGCTCTTTGCATCAGGTAGCCAAAACATTGGAGCTTCAGCATCAGTCCTTTCAGTGAATATTCAGGGTTGATTTCCTGTAAGACTGACTGGTTTGATCTCCTTGTAGTACAACAGACTCTAAAGAGTCTTCTCCAGCACCACAGTTCATGGTCCAGCTCTCACAGCCCTACGTGACTACTGGAAAAGCCATAGCTTTGACTAGATGGACTTTGTTGACAAAGGGATGTCTCTGATTTTTGATACGTTGTTTAGGTTTGTCATACCTTTTCTTGCAAGGGCTAAGTGTCTTTTACTTTCATGGCTGCAGTCACCATCCTCAGTGATTTTGGAGCCCAAGAAAATCACAGGAGTAATAGAAAACAAGATTGGAAAGATGGGTGGGGAATAGCAAGCGTTTGGGGCACCATGAAGAAGGGGGCATGTTTTGAGCACCTGAAGCTGAAGGTTGATTTGGGGCTGGAGGAGGGAGGAGAATTTATTGGGGAAAAGGGAGGTGGGCCAGCGACCTGGAGGAGCTGTGATTGGTAGTTTCACAGCCTATTTCAGGTTTCCCGGCCAGGAATTGGAGGGCAGTTTGAGATCAAGAATCTGGGGTTTAAGGGGGCTCCGATATTGGGTGATGGCCCTCCTTTCTGGCAGATTGAGGCCTGGGAGCAGGAGCAGCTGGGCCTGCCTGTCTGTTTTGACTCTTGCTGTATCGACCAGTCCCCCTTCCAGCTGGTGGAGCAGACGACTCTGCACAAGGCAAGTCTTTGCCCACCACCCACCCAGCAGGGCTTCCGGGAGGAGCGGAAGGGGCGGTGCCACTATGCTGACCTTACCCACCGCTCTGTGCTCGCAGACCCACACCCTCTTCTCCCTCCTGGGCCTCCACCTTGCTTATGTGACCAGCATGGGGAAGCTGAGGGGCGTGCTGGCCCTGGAGGAGGTAAGAGTGACGTATTCCCCCGTTGGAGCGGCAGTGGGAGGAAGGGGTGAGGTGGGGAGGGGATGGTTCTAACATCCGGGAGGTGCTCCGGGTTTCCCACCTGTTTCTCACGCAGAGACTGGAGGGGGTCGGGGGTGGCAGCCCCCTGATCTTATCAGGATGGCATGGGCTTGGAATGGGGACACAGGGCCTGAATCATGGTCTCATGGGGTTGCTGCGGTGGAGGGGCGTGGAAAGAGCCGGCAAATGGCACGTGGCTGAAGGGGGCCTGAGGGTTGGGGGCCGGGCAAAAGAGATCCTGGGTCAGGGCTCTTGAGATTTCACCGCTCTGCAGGTGAGGCTCTCAGTCCATCATGCCCCGATTTTCCTTTTTCTGTCTTCTCCCTTTGATTCATCCCTGCCACGCCATATCTTTCCCATTCCTTTTCCTTTGATTGTCCATTTCTCCGCTGTTCCTGCCTTCTCGTCTTCTTTCCTTCCCCGTGTCCTACCCTCTCTCCCCTTCCCTGTGCTCCCCAGCTGCAGAAGGCCATTGAGGGACACACCAAGTCTGGGGTGCAGCTCCGCCCCCCTCTTGCCAGCTTCCGGAGTACAACTTCCACTCGGAAGAACACCGGGGTCCCGCTTCCTCCTGCAGAGGGCTGGAGTCTGCCTGACGACGGAGCTGGGGCCACTGGGGCAGGGGACGTGACCCCTGCTTCCCCAGAGACCCCCGTGCCACCCCCCTTCCCAGAGCACCCCCTCTCCCAGACTCCGGCCAAGGCAGAGAGCGAGCTGGAAGAGCTGGAGCTGGTGGAGGGGCCAGGGCCCGAGGAGGAGGAGCTGGCTGACATCCTGCAGGGCCCCAGTCTGCGCTCCACCGATGAGGAGGATGGGGATGAACTGATCCTTTGACTGCCTCTTGCACCTCCTCTCACGGAGGCTGTCCAGGGACTCAGGAGAGAGGGCGTACCATGTGGGAGAGGGTGCTTCCTGAAGCTGGTGGGGATCACATCAATACACGGCCTCTCCTGGGAGTTTTAAAAAATGTGATCCTTGGAGGAGGAGCTGGAATTTGGGCAGGGGGTAGCTTTGGTCAGTCATTTGGGCCATGCCCTCCCATCCCCAGATAGGTGGTGGATCTGTGTGAAGGTCCCCTGATATTCCATGGGCTTCCTGAGTTTGCCCGTGTGTGGATGGGGAATACCTGCCTCTCCCATGCATCCCCCACAACCTGCCCTCCCCCTGCCCCCAGGGTTCTTATCCCAGTGCCTTCCCGGCCTTGCCCATCCTCCCATCAGTTCCCCTGGGGGTAGGTTAATGGAGACCCAGGATGACTGTGGTCCTGCCAGAGCCATGTTGGAGGAGGAGACGGGACCGCCTCATGGCCTCATGGACTGATGGCCCTTGAATGTACTGGCAAACTGTCCACAGCGCCTTCTCTCAGAGCCCTCCACTTGCCCACAGCCACTCCCTGAAATTTGCCTCCAGACTCCATTCTGACTCCTACTAGAAAGTGAAGTCACTCAGTTGTGTCCAACTCTTTGTGACCCCATGGACTGTAGCCTACCAGGGTCCTCCATCCATGGAATTTTCCAGGCAAGAGTACTGGAGTGGGTTGCCATTTCCTTCTCCAGGGGATCTTCCCGACCTGGGGATCGAACCTGGGTCTCCCACATTGCAGGCAGACACTTTACCATCTGAGCTCCCAGGGTCTGGCCTCAACTCCTCGGGCGGGAAAAGGCCATTTCTACATCCCCCTCCATCCTCCATTTAGGCAGTGAGACACAGATACAGAGCCTATTCAGGGGAAGAGCCTAGAAGACAGACGGTCACGGGAAGGCTCTGTGTGGAAGGGGTGGTAACTTGTGGCTCAACAGTCACGCGGCCCTAATGGATTTATTTTACTCCCTCTGGCATCTCGCATTACAGCTTCCTCACCCTCCGGTTTCCAGGTCACTCCCTTTCCCACTGTCGTCTTTGGGCACTGTCCTGCCCAAGGGTCAGCTCTGTCCTTGAGCTGATCTAGCCGGGGCTTCTCCTGCCCAGAACTGAGGCTCAGGGCAGCTGGGCCACTGGTTTACCCCCACGCTTCTTCGGGGCTGGTCCTTTTTATTCCTCTTCTAGAGGTTCAGTGTTGAAATGGCCCAGCTCTCCCACACTTGGGAAGTCAGAGACCCTTATCCGCCCCAAGCCAGCGACAGGGAGCCTGCCATTACCCTGCCTTCTCTGCAAGTGGTCCCAGGTGCTCTTGATCCCACCCCCAAGGCTTTCATCCCTCCCTTCTTTTCAGTTCAGTTCAGTCGCTCAGTCGTGTCCGACTCTTTGCGACCCCGTGGATTGCAGCATGCCAGGCTTCCCTGTCCATCACCAACTCCCGGAGCCTACTTTGATGCCTCCTTTAAATCTTTGTGCCCATCCCAGGCATCCTCCTCCGTCCTGCCTCATGCCCAGCCTCCACCGCCCCCCAAATAAGACACTCATAGCCGAAGGTGCCACCACAGTGTTTAGTGCCATTGAACACAACCTGGAACCATCTCCCAACAGTACACCCCTTCTGCCTCCCCAGGGCCAAGAGAGAGAGGCTGCAGCCTGGGGAGGGGGCCTAGCAGTGGGCCCTGGAGCCCCTGCTCCTGTGTATATAATCTATAATATTTATATATATATTTATATATAATTCTCTCTGTAATATATGTCATAGAATCTCTCTTGGGCCTGGGGTGGAAATGTCACATTAAGAAAACATGCGAAGACTGGCTGTAAAAATGGATATTTCCCAGACCTGGAAGAGGGAGTATGGGATGTACAGGTGGGGGGCGAGGAGAGGTAATAACTCATTCACCAAGATTCCCTCCTTGAGAGGAAGGTGTGGGGGTGAGGGGAGGAATGGAAGGTTGCGATTTTCCTTTAATAAAGTGAATTGAAAATGAAAGTGCACCCCCCACCAGAAGAAAATAATTTAGCAAGAGCAGTTTCATTCACAATGATATAAAAACAGCCCCGTTCTGGGGGCTGTCCTAAAACGTGCTGCACAGCCTTTAACCCCAAAGAAAAAGCAACCCTCCCCCACCCCCAGCAGCCTCTTCCGGCACATGCCCCTCCCCTCCCCCTAAAATAGGCTACAAGCAAACCCCATGCACCCTGGCCCCCAGCACCAGAGAGGCGGTCCCTCCCTTGGAAGAGTCCTAAGAGGGTCCCAGGCCAGCTCCTCGAGTCTTCTCCCTCTTCAGAGCGGAGGGGGAGCTGCCTGCAAAGTGCAGAGCCCGCCCCACCCGACCTCTGGTCTGCAGCGATGCCAGCGCCCAGGAGAGGCTGAACCCCACCCTCACGCTCACATCTGAACTCTGCTGAGTTCTTTAGAGTTTTAGCCATCTTTTGGCAGGACTGGCAGGGACGCTGGGCTTCCTCGGGCGAGGAAGGAGAGGACGCTGCTTTAGATGACCTTTCCTGACTCCACAGGGCCCTGAGCGGAAAAGGAACTGTTGATGAATGAACCCGCTCCCTGGACTGGATGTCCCCTGCGGTCTGGGGGTGGAGGATGGGGCACGAAGCGGGTGAGAGTAAAGAGAAAAGGATGATGCCTTAGAGAGAGGGCAGGGTGCACAAGGTCAGGAAACAGGGACCCCTTGAGAGGAGGAAACCGTGACCAGCAAACCCCAAAGGCCTGCAGCAAGGGGTGCAGGGCGGGGCCAGCAGTGTCCGGTCACGTGAGCACACAGCGCCTCATCCAAAGCGACTTCACCTACCTGGGCTCACCCTGCCCACCCGTTTCCTCTGCAAGAACCAACCTCGGAGGGTGGCCATCCTCCCCTCCCCCCGAAGACGTGGGACGTGGCCTCGGTTGCATTTCAGGGGCACGTGTGTATGACAGTGGGGGCTTGATGTGGGGGGGGGCAGGGTCGTACATGGACGGAGCCACCCCAGCGCTCAGCCTCCTCATTGTGTGGCGGAGGCGGGTGGGGGGGGGGAGGTTGGAGGACTGGCTCGCCACTCTACCCTTCAACTCAGCCCCCTACGATCAGGCTTCACGGGCTGCCCAGAGGTCCCCCCCCCCACTCCCCTCCAAGAATGGAGAGTGGGTGTGGGAGGGCAAGCAGTTCCGGGGGCTTATCCTGAAAGTAAGAATACCGCGTCCTCCTCAGGTCTGGGGAGGGAGGGGGGACACCTGTGAGGTCCTCCCGGGAGTCCTGGGGGGAGGCGAGGAAGGGCAAAGGGGGCCAAGCACCCTCGCTTCTCCTCAGCCAACACCAAACCCCCTCCCCCGCCCCAATCCGGGGGGTGCCTGACAGCACCAGACCCCTCCCTCCACCCCCACTCAACCCTGAGTCCCCAAGAAGTTATAAAAATGTAGAAAAGGCAAAGAGAAAAGTGTAAACAGCTCCAGAGAATTAGGGCTGGATGGAGGGAGGCAGCTTCATGCTTCCTGTCTGGCCAGGACACCAGCATTCCAAGTCTCCCCTTGGCGGGGCGGGGCCGGGGCTCCCAGAGCAGGGGATGGAAGAAGGCAGAAAAAGGGAAGAAGAGCTGGAGCAGCCAGCCCTGGTGGGGGTCCTTTCCCAGGTCCATGGGGCCCTCCGTTCATCCACTGGATATACTCAAGATCCCAAAGCACGTGGCCCGTTTGTCCTGGGTCTCACCAGTGACCAACTGGCCCCTGTGCATCCATTGCCACGTCCATCTTCTCCGAGATCCCTCATCTCAGAAGCCAAGTTACCTCTGAGGGCAGACTCTCCACCCTCCAAGGAGACATGGTCTGTACCCCCTGCCCCCAGCCCCACCCCGGTTCATCAAATCACATCCAACAGCCCCCCAGGTCTGCTCCTCATAGTGGGGCTGAGCCTGGGTCACAGCCAGAGAAAAAAGTCGGGAAGAGCAAGAGTGAGTTGGAGAAAGGAGGCCTTCAGACAGCCACAGTGGAGACTTCTGGAAGACGAGATCAGGGAGCAAAGACCGGCAGTCCAGGGGACGGTGCTCCTGCGCGCGGGACGCACGCCGCAGACCCAGAAGCCCGCAGGCAAGCGAAGTTCCGGGCCATCTCGGTTGCCCGGGCCTCAATTTCTGGACCTGTGGTCTCTACAGCATAAGCCCGGATAAAATTCCACCCTGGCCCTCCGTTTTGCTGGCGAGGACGCCTCCTGGGCTCATCAGGGTCTTCTTGCCCAGGTTTCAGGCGCGCTGCTGGGGGAAGGAGGAAGGTGTGGTTGCAGCCAGGCTCCTCCGGCAGGAGTGGACGGCTGGGCAAGGAGTGGGAGGAACCTAGTTGTTGTTGCCCTCGCCTTCCTCCTCATCAAAGGACTGCACGCCTGAAGATGTGACGTCAGACACCTTCCGGCTGAGAGCGGTGGACATCTCGGGGTCCTCGCGTGGTGACAGGGACTCCAGGTCCCGGCATCCCGCATCCTCTTCCTCCTCGGGGGCCAGTGGCCTCTTCTCCTCCTCCACGGGGCCTCTTGCCAGGTCCACCCCGCCCACCCCTGGAGCCCAGTCAGTGTCTCCCCCTAGCAAAGAAGACGGCTCCTGAGCAGAGTATCCTGAAGCAGGTTGGGAAGGTCCCATTTCATGCAGGCTAGGCTGTGAGTCATCAAACGCAGGCCCGAGATAGGATCCCGTGGCCGGAGAGGCAATGAGGGACTGGTCGCTTGCTTCCCAGGCATCCGATGACCCCAGACAGTACATGCCCTGGGACACATAGGAATGAGGCCAGCCATCCATCGGGGCTTGAGCGAGGGCATCTGGAAAGAGAATCACGAAGGTTGGTGGGGTCCCAGAACATGATCAGAGGCTGTGACAGCAGCACAGAAAATTAAGGGTGAGAAGGGGGTGGGATGTGGGAGGCAATAGGAAAGCTGATGTGAACACAGAGTCTTAAAGATGAATGGAGGGAGCCTCTGGGGTCGGATTCTGGAACTGTTCCTCACCCTGACTCTCCATCAGCTCCTGGTAGTTGTCACTGTAGTTGCAGCCCAGTGTTTCCTGGGTGGAGTTGACACTCATGTCCTCACCGTCCATGGAAGACCAGGCCATGAGAGTAGCCTCGGAGATGGCAAACTGTTCCATGACACCTGGGAGAAGAA